GCATTTGTCCGTCCAGCGCATGTTTGTCGCGCGCATGCATATTAAACTGCTCCTCATGTGCTTCTATTTGTGCTCGCATGTGTTTGTGTTCGCAAATTGACGCCATTTTCATTGTCTTGCTTTTACACACACACACACGCACACACACTCGCGCACTCATGTGAAATCAACAACATGAATGAACACTCAACTCAGCTTCCATGTCGTTTTCGCGACATGCTCAATCATGTTGCCCGCCCGCGCACAGGCCAACCCCCAGCCCTTAGTTGAAATGACAATTTCGCGTGCGATTGTCACATCAGTTATGTATGCATATGATATCTACATACATGTACATGTGTCGGCATGTGTATAAGTGTGTGTGTGTGTGTGTATTGTGCACACATTTCTGTCAGTTTGTCACTGTCGGCCTAGCGTCGCGTGTTTATTTATACGCAATCAAATTAAGTTTGAAGCGAATTTCCAGACGTGGGCGACAAATTGAGGTAATCATGTTTTCCATGTGTGAGCTGAGCTGAAAATCAAATAACCACACACTCACACACACATACACCCACCCAGTGGAGTTAACTATTTAGACAGCAAAGTCTAACCGCAAAATTTGTAGCCCAAAGTGCTTCAGCCGGCGGCAATTATTTTAACTAAAAATGAACGCCCACCTGGAGCCACCCCTACAGTTGCCGCGATGCTGTTTACCTCTTATCATTCTCAGATGACCCAATTTGTTGCTGTTGTTGTTGTTGTTGCCTGGTGGCATTGCGATAAGACTTAAAGAGCAAACCGCAAGCCACATGCAAATTACGCAGCTCGAGAACTGTCAAAGTGTATAGCACAATCAATTGCAATGCCAGATACTATATACCTTATGTATATATGTATATATATACACATAGATATAAATATGGAACTTAGAGATATGTTGCCCCTGGCAGTGGTTACCCGGGCAATGCAAATTATATGCTCAAGCCAGCGGAAATTGCCGTCGGGGCGCTTAAGCAGCTTTAATGGTGCGCATAAAATTTGCCAGCTGCCCGAGGATAATAAGGACTACGCTTTCCTTTGCCTACTTTTGTGCGCATCGCGACTCGAAATAGTCTTGCGTGAGTGCAATGCCAATGTTGTTGCTGAAAAACTCAAGCCTTATTAGACTGCCTCGGATAGACGGCAGTCAAAGCCATTAAATTGGCAACGAGGGAAACGAAATATGAATGCCTGGTGGGAGACATTGCAGGCACACACACTCTGTGGCAGGATCATCAACAGCAGCAGCAGCAGCAATAACAACACTGATGCTGACTTCCCTAACACACACACGCACACAAATTGTGCTATTTATAGTCCAAAGTTTGGCCGCCTCTTTATAAAAGTCAATAATTTATGCTTCCGCTTCCACATTGCTCCACTGCTCCACATGGCGCAAAAAGCTTCGACAGCAGCAGCAACAGCAGCAGCGTCGGCAGTTAATGCGCTTCCATTGACCCAATTCGTGTGCTGCAAATCAAAACAAACAGACTTCCAGGCATGCTCTGCCTATCTCTCTCTCTCTGACCCACTCCCCCCGCCCACTCGTTCTCGCTGTGCCTCTCTTAACCATTTCCAGCTGCTCTTTGTTGCCTGCGCGCGCATTTGTTTTGTCAACTCTCTATCACTGTTATTAGCCCGGCCGCTCTTTTTGGCCCAATTTTCGTGGCTTTTTTTTTGCACATTAACAGACGCTGGCGCTTTTCATGTGACAGCGACAGGGGCAGGGGCAGGGCCAACCCTCATTTAATACACACACAAGCACACACATTGATGTTTGCTTGAGAATTGCGTTCAAGCACTTGCATGGCTATATACAGTTGACCCAATTTCGTGTTTGTCCTTCCCACAGCTGTTCTGTTTTCCGCTTTCTGTTGCTGTTGCTGTTTCTGCTTCTGTTTTCGGCTCGCTGTTTGCCTTTGCCATCGTTATTCGGGGTATGGGCTTGTTTATGTTTGCGGCCAAAAATGGAAAGCGAAACAGCGAAAAAAGAAACTTGTTATTTATACAAGGCACGTAAATGGCAGTCCATAGATGTGTGTGTGTGTGTGCGTGTGCGTGAGTGTGCGTGGGGATGGTTACATTATGCTGTCAAGCGATTGTTCATTGATTGTGAAAAGCTATGGGAAATTAGATATGAAGCAACAACCGAAACGCCGCTGATAAAGCTAGCTCAACGCATTTCAATATTTGTACAAAGAATTTTAATGAAATTCATGGCAATCCGCGTATTTCTTCAATAAGCTGTTCGCATCAATAATCACACAGCTTACAATTGGGTCTGTGGACTAGTATTAGTGAGCTTTTTGCTGAGCAGCTGGCACAGCAAATCGTTAAGCTCTTCGCCCTCAACTTAAACATAACTCGCTGGGCATATTTGTTGGAACAGGCAACTTGGCGATTAAAGCAGATTAAGCCTAGTTCATGCAATGCATACAAAGCACGTGAACTGCCAGTAAATATCATGCAAACTCATACATTGCTACATATATCTGAGCAAACTCACACATACACACACACACACACACACAGATATATTTTATATGTAGAGATTTCTGTATGTAGAGGTAACCTTATTCTGTGTACACGCCTGTTACTGGCGCCAGGCAAATGGCAAACAACCTGGATAACGATACCACTCAGCCAGCACAGAGAGAGAGAGAGATGGAGAGAGTGAGGGAGGGGGGGCATAAGCGTTGCTGTAGTTTGCCTCTGGCGTAACAGGACTGCCGCATCAATTTCCTGGCTCGCGCGCGCGCGCTGCCTCACTGACTCGACTCGACTTCCTTTTTAGACTGCCTTAAACAAGATTTGTGTTATTCCTGACATTTTCGCACACTCACGTTGCCTATTTATGCGCCAAATCAGGACACAGTGCGGTAGGCGGCATGCGGCATGCGGCATTCAGGCGGCACTCAGCGGCCATTGTTTGCTGCCGTCGTCGCCGCTTAGGGGATGCTGCTGCTCCTGGACGGGGAGCGGGGCAAATGAATAACTGAAGTTTCAGCTATTTTTTGCTTCATTACTAGACGCACGGCTGCCATACGCCCCTGCAACTCATTAGACAGCGCAACATAATTAAAGCAGCTAGAGCGAGAGAGAGAGAGAGAGAGAGGGAAGATGGACTCCAGTGTCTGGGTCTATGCAGCACAGCAGGTGGCAATTGCGAACGTGTAAGCCGATTGTTGCCTTGGCTATTGATAAGCTGAAAGTGATTTTCGACTTTGTAGGCGCATTAATTAAAAATAATTAAAGCCAGCAACGGTGGCAGCAACAGTCGATGCTGTCTGCTATAAATTACGTATACGCCACATTGTCTGTTAATGAATTTAATCAAAGTTTTGGACGCCTGAAATACTAGCTGTTGCTGTTAATATGCGAGCACACACACACACACACACACACTGTAGCACATTAAACACATGCCTGCATATATTTATATAGCAAGCACAAAAAGTCGGCAACTGAAGCATTGCTGTTGCACGCACAGCTGCCGCAAATGGCAACAATTGTTGAACTCACACACACACACAGCACACACACATGTGTGTATGTGTGCACGTTAATATTTATGAGCAGGATATGCGCCATATCCTGCGCTCTGTTCGCTGGCCACAAACGAATTATGGCGCCCACTAATTGCGCTGAGTTAAAACGAAAAATGTGTAGACCCAGAGTCAAGCAGCAGGCAGTTAATGTAACACACACGCAAGCACACACGCCTATTAATGTGTGCGTGTGTGTTTACGTCGTTTATGCTGCCTAAGTTATTTATGTTTATGATTACGTTGCGGCTAGCATCTCTCACTTGGCTTTCGGTTTCACTTACTAGACCAGAAAGCAGCTGTAATTGCCAAAGCCTCCACAATTGTTGTGGAACTCCAGACTGCCGGAGCAGGGGGCCTTGCTAGAGATCATTAGATGTTGTGAGTTATGCTTGTTGTTGTCTCTAGACTAAGCACTCCTAGTAGCCTGCCTAATTGAATTATTGAAAACGAGCTCTTAGTTAAATGAGCGAACAATAAAACGACTGAGGATTAAACGAGCTTATATCGATGCTTTAAGCGCTACCAAACAAATAATTAATCACTTGAAAAGTGAAATTGAATTTTCCATTGGTGCAGCCGTGCACAGTGTGTACAAGGACAAACCTCGGCCGCAACTTGGTAACAAGGACGCAATCAAAAATACAAAACAGCAGAAAAAGCAAAGGAAAGAAGAAGTTAACTGGGTCAGCAGCGCTGCCAGCGTCCTAACCTTCAGCATAAAACGCAGCATAATTGCAGGCGCAGATCCGTTAAATAATGCAGAGCTCTCTCTCTCTGTCTCTCTCTATCTCATTTGAAGCGAAAGTGAGAAGCGTGTCAAGGCGAGCGGCGAGCTGACCCAGTAAATGGGCGCGCGCGCTTTGCAAAATGGGGACAGGCGCGCTCGGGCAAGGACATGGCGGCCTGCGTTATCAGTGCAGAGCCAGCGCCTTGCAGTGTGCAGCCGGAACCGGAGCGCCTTGCTCGGCAGCCTCGTTTGCTGCTCGTGTGCCTGAGCCGGGCAGCAAGCCAGGCAGCCAGGCAGCCAGGCAGCCAGGCGACCACGCAGCCAGTTGCATTGTCCGCACCAACACAGTCGCATTTGGCACCGGCACGGCACCGGTTCACTGGCTGCTGCTGCTGCTGCTACTAGCTCCTTCGGCCAAAAGTCGCGCGTCATGCAGGCAACGGCACTCAACTACTACGTGGAACGCAGCGACTACGAATCCTGTGGCGAAAGTGAAGCCAGCCCGGGCGGCCCGTCCTCTGTCGCCTCCACTGCCTCGTCGCGCGCCGGCACGCCAGCCACCACTAGCCAGCACAAGCACAGTCAAAATCAGTTTCAGAACCAAGTACGCAGAGCTCGGCTAGATCCTTTCGCTATTATTAATCATATTCCAGATGTAGATTGAATGATGCTTAAACAAATTTTGTTTTTTCTTGTATTTGCAGTCGAAGAAATTCCGTTGCACCTGGAAGGGATGCGGCATTGTGGAGCTCACACAAGTGAAAATTGAGCGGCACGTGAGGGACAAACATTTGGGGTAAGTGCAATAGTCAAAAAGACAAGGGCGGAGGTGCACGAGGGCACGTGCCCTGAGGGTGCTCCAAGTGGCCAAAAGCAGCCCGCAATCAAGAGCAGCAAGTGGCTGGCTGGGCCTTGACTTAGTGCAGCCAACAACAACAATTAGAATAGCAGCAACAACACGACCAGCAGCAGCAATACAATGCGCGTCACAGTTAGCTGCACAGTGGTACCAATCAGCAAAAGCAGCTAGTTCGAACTGCAAGCTAGTTGATACATATATATTTTTGTTATATCAAATCAGATTTAAATAGCTAAGATCAAATATTAAAGATTTTTGCTATAGTTCAAACTTGATAAATTGATAAAAAGTTTCGCCACTGCGCACCACTGTTTGCATGCAAATGAAGTACATCAAACAAACCACTGTGCACGCCGCTTGAAGCTGTTTAAAACTGGAACACTTGTATACACATGCATGCATGCATGAGTGTGTGCGTGTGTGTATGTGTAACCAGGTCACACACACACGCACTCGCTTTGAGTTGACTTAGCGCACCTGCATTACAAGTGTCGCAAATGGCATAGACAAACGATGGGGGCGTGGCATTTATTGCGGCCCTGTTCTGGGCGACTGCGCTGCAAGTTTTTGAGGCCAAGGTTCAAAGCTGGGGCCCGCTTAAGCGGCGTTGACATTTGCGAATGTTAAATGTTATTTCCTATATAAAATGGCTTTTTGCCTGCAGCTCATGACGATGCAATAAAGAAAACATAAAGAAAAAAACAAATAAATAATAAAAGGCCATTGTTTTTAGGTTTTCTTTTTTTTTGTTGTTTTTGCTCTCAAATTGTTCTTTTTTCTGCATAGAGATGGGTATGTATGTACTTATATAGAATTATAATGTATACTTGTATTCAGTTGATAATATTTTGTATGTGTTGGTGGTGTGGTTGTTGTTCTGGTTGACTTTATTGTTGTTGTTGTTGGCAAACGAGCAGCTCTAGGGCTACACTAAAAAGTACAATGCAAATACTTGACAGTACATATATATATGTATATATATATAAATGTTTGTATAGTTGTATAATTTATGCTTTTATATACTATATATGTGTTTATTTTTATATATATATAATGTTCGAAATATCAACTATGCGCTTGGCAGAGGCTGGTAGCGACGTAGGAGCTATTGTAGTGTCTATATCAGTGGAGAGAACGTAGTGAAGCAGAAATGCAAAGAAAGTTATAAAATGGAAGGAACACAAGGAAATTAAAGTGAAAGTTATAATCTCTAAACGCGACTAATTCATAAATACATATATAAGTATAACTTAATGGCTATAATCTATGAGCAATTCGTTATGCTATGTATTTAAAAGAAAACTAAGCATAACCATTGAATTTGCCTTTTACATACATTATGTTCAGAATTGAAACTAGGTTCTTCATTTTCGTTGAGGTACATGAAATAATTGAAATACAATACAATGATATATACTTAATATAATTTAATATAACATACATAGATACAGGTTTATTCATTGAGTTTATCTTTTGTTCAAAGCTTATTCTTTTCGTTTTTCTTATTTTTTGCAAAAACTGCAATTGGCATTAACTAAGAAACTTCCTGAAGCAGCAGTTGATCTACGTTGATTATTATAGTGTGTGTATATATATATAAATATATGATACTTGTATTATATAACATACATACGTTAAAAACTCTAAATGCTATGGGTGGCTAAAATTATCCTTATCGATTATATGCTGCTGTTCTAAACAACTACATACATACATTAGTTAGTCTGCCTTGATTGTGTATCTATGCGATATTTAAATTTCTCTTCGTTTCTCATTATGCTTATTCTTATTATCGTTTATCTTTTGATATACAAAATATCCACAACATATGCCTAGGCGGGGACTGAACAATTTTCGAGTACTTAAAGTTATCAACTTAACTTTCGGTGCATACAAAAATAAACAATTCACAATCAATATCATTCAAAATAAATAAAAGTAAAAATTATATAAAAAAGAAGAAAAATAATAGATCAACTTTCGACTGAATTAAATAACAAAGGAGTGGTAAAACAAAAACACTAATTGATAATTGTCCTAATTTAGTACCAATCCAGTTTTTAGCCAAGTAGATTGCGCCAGCAAGTTGTAGTATTTGCCACCTTGAACAAACTTCATTTCTCTTTCACTCCTAGTGCGGATGCAGAAGTCCATGGGTAATGTCCATGCCACCATCGCCCATTCCATTCACAGACAAAGTGCCGTTTAGCATGCTATTAGCTGCAAGAGAGTGCAGTAGGGATTAGAAAAACAAACTGTGAGATCAGTATTTAAGCAACCTACAATTTCTGTTACCCTGCGTATCCATCTGAGTCCAGTACTGTTCCGATGGGCTCTGTGTATTAGTCCCCGGCGGCGCCTGAACCGGCGCCCCCGTGTACCGAAAATACGGATTCTTAAGATCGAGAGTATTGCTCGATGATATCAAGGTGCCTTCGATGTGCAGATCAATGGTTACATCATACGACTGCCGCCTATTGGCTTCCAGTAGCACACGACCCGTCAATGTCTGGCCCTGCTTGATGAAAATTGGCATGGGTAGCAGGCAGCGTACCTGATACCAGTGAGTTAGTGGCGCTGTGGGTGAAGTGGAAAGCCACACATTCTGGCTGCTACCACTGAACTCCACGTCAAACCAAAAAGCCAGTCCATGGCAGATGCCAGTCTGCAATATGTGGAACTCAAGTGGAATGTCTAAATGAAAGAATTCAAAGTTATTTAGGAATAACTATAGTATAGATAGTTGATTTTACCAATGACATGCAAATCATCCTCCTTGTCGTTGAGGAAATCGCATACATGCCGCACTGACTTGGCCATGCAAATACGTATATCAAATGTATCGACTATTGGTTGACGGAAATACTCTTTCATGCCCTCCTTGTGCAGAGTTGTTAGATCGACACCATGAAAGGCCGATTGATACCAAAAGTTGGCCTTATTATACTGCTCCGAATAGAGCGACTCATCTGAGAAGGGCGCAATGTGGAGATCGCCATGCGTGGGATACATTTTACCATGTGGCTTCAGCCATTTACGCGCATGCAGATATGTCTCCAGCATGCGTTCGTTGTAAAGCATATAGCCCATGGGCTCAGATATGATAACATCCACCTTTTCGGGCAGCTCAATTTCCTCAATTTTGCCTGGTATCACTGAGATCTTGTGCTGAACATTATTCGACTCTACCAACTGCTGTGCATATTGTGCCATATTGGAAGCCTCAATGGCGTAGACCTTGGCTGCGCCAGCTTGCACGGCAAAGAAAGATAATATGCCCGAACCGGCACCTACATCCAGCACAACTTTATCCTGCAAAAGGTATACATTTTGTAGTAAAATCAATAATAGTTTTGAGTTAATTTGTTGTCTTTACCTGAAAGTCAATGGAATTTCCTAAGATGGCTCGCTGATAGGTGCTAGTTCTAACATAGTCCTGCATCATGTTTTGCTGCTGACTAAGGTAGCCATAGAATTGGAAGTACTGCGATGCGGATGATTCTTCGGTGCGCTGTGAAAACACCGACTTCGGTCGCAAATGCTTCACATTCTCCACAACCTTACGGAAGAGCTGCTGATCCTTATCGCTACCAAATCGCAACACCAGATTATCCGATTCCAAGGAAACTGCATAGCACCGTCTACCCAACTGTGCCGCATCCGTGTCGGCTGATATCATATACTCCTTCAGCACATGCCCCTGATCGTTGTCTGCAAAAAAGCAAGCAAAAAAATTAATGTCATTATGCAGATAGAACCAACCAAAATGCACGACTTACCCAGCATAATGCGCAGCAGGACGCCCTGGGAGTCGTAGCTACAGCTTAATGTACAACTACTCTTATATATGTTGTTAAATTCGAGCTTCTGCTCGTCGGCAATGGCGCTTATTACAACGCCTGAAAACTGGCAATTGCTGAGAGGGCACAGTGCCGCTGCGACGCTGTTGACGCATTTATTATTCTGCTCGGCGGCGACGCGACTGCTGCTGCTGCTGCCGGTGGACATTTTGTTATGATCTGTACGGCGGCTACTGAGTATGGGATTAGGAATTGGGTGAATAATCACAATGCTTTTCGTTATAATTGACAATGTAGGCTGTGTGATGCACGCGGACGCAAATTACACACACATACACAAGCAGACAAGCTCACGCACACACACACTCACTCACTCACACGCACACGCACACAAAGGGAGACAGACACAGACGCACGCGAGACTTGCGACGCGCAAATTTTTTTCTGTCGCCGACGACAGAAATATAAAAATTTTCCACAGCAATTTATATGTGCGTCAGGCGTGAGCAATGCGTGTGCCGTACACTTATGTTCTTTTGTGGCAAATATATATCAATTTGTGGCGCGCTCTGTCTCGCTGCTATTGCAAAAATCGATCGATTTTTGTTGATTTCGTATTGATTTGACACAGAACGTGCGTGTTTTTTGCAAACGTTGCTACAACCCTGCAGCTGTGTGTTTAGCGTTGGCAAGTGAATGGCCGCAGCGTTGCCAACTTTTTTTCGGTAGCGTTGCCATTTTCGATATCAGAAAATGGCAACATTGCAGCCATTCGTTTGCTAAATGATATAGAAATGGCGAATTGTGATCACAGTGACGTGTGAATGTGACTTAACGTAACGGTTATCAAATAACCGCAAATAAATTATAAACAAATTATATTGAATACATTAAACAGATTGTAAGAATAAAATAATCTTTCATTTGGAGAGTATTACTTTTTTATGAATTATACAAAACTGAAAAGACAACTCTAAATTACTGACAATCCAACTGCGATATTAATGCTCATCTCTAATATTATGGGCAGTTAAAGCACCACCTTAAATGAATGGCGGCTATAAAGAGTTAATTAATGCAAATTTTTATACACTTGCAGCAAAAAAGCCAGACGCTCCGGCGAATATGATTCCTGCAGTGAGAATGAGCACGAAGAGGAATTCTATTACACAGAAGACGAATACGATGACGAATTGGTCAAAACGCCTAGTCCTGCATCTCCACCCACGCTCAGCCACCGGGACATGGCACGTCCACCGCACGAGGATCCAGAATACCAAAGACAGATCGTTGGCAACTTCAAGTAAGAAAACGTCTGTTAGTAATTACTTTTACTAAATGTATATTTTTTATCTACCAATATAGACAAGGACGCGCTATGAATAGCTATCCCCACCTCACACAGCAACAGGCACGTCAGCAACATCACAGCAGCAGCAGCAACAACAGCAATGGCCACATCACAAACATCCAGCAGCTGCAGAGCAACAACACTAGCTGCATACCAACATCGCCGCTGGCGCATCACAATTACACTTGGCCATCCAATGGTGCGATCACAGTGAGCGCATCCTCGACGAACCACCACCACCACCACAGCAGCAACACCGGCAGCGGTAGCAGCAGCAGCAACAGCAACTCGGCGATACTCAGCAAACACGCACGCCCATCGTCGTCGCGTCCGTCCCACTCGACAGCGCCATATCCATCGCCGACCTACGCCCATCATCACCATCACAATTACAGCAATAGCAGCATTGGCAGCGGCGCCAGTAACAGCAGCAGCGGCAGCAGCAACACCAGCAGTAGCAACAGCAGTCCGGTCATACACAGCAACAGCAGTGCCAACAATATGTTGCAGCAATTATCGCAGCAGAATGTCACGGTGACGGCGCATCATAACCACAATAGCAGTGGTCAGCACCACCAGCAACAACACCACCTGTCTAGCGTGACAATCACGCCCAACTACCATCCGCCGCAGCAGCAGCAGCATCACCACCAACAGCAGCAGCAACAGCAGCATCAGCAGCAACAGCAGCAACAGCAGCAACAACAGCAGCAGCAGCATTTGCGCGGCCAGCAACAGACAACTGCCAGCAACAATCTGGTTGCCAATTCCGGCCAGCACATGCAGCTCCAGCATGTGGCCGTGCAACAAGTCGTGACCGCAGCCAGGAACACGTCCAACTCACCGAACCGACGCACACGCGGCGAGAACAAGAAATGCCGCAAGGTATATGGCATGGAGCGTCGCGAATTATGGTGCACTCAATGCCGATGGAAGAAGGCTTGCAGTCGCTTTGGCGACTGAAAGCGACAGAAAGCGTCGACGGAAGCGGCTCAGGCCCAGGCGTCGGCGATACTGCGGCAAGGCGAAATATTTAAAGCAGGAGCAACGGCAACGGCAACATCAACAGCAATGGCAACAGCAACAGCCACAGCATCAGCAATGGCAACAGCAGCAACAAACACAGCAACAGCAGCAGCAGCTGCTGCTGCTAAATTGACAACGGTGGTGCGCTTGGCCGCCGAAGTGGCAGCTGGCAAACAGTTGCCAGCTTCGCTGACAATTAAAACACATAAACGCTATGGCATCCATCACATAAATCCATACAACATCAGTACCAACTACAGCAACAGCAACAACAACGGCAACAACAATATCAATAGATTGCCGCGTGTTAAGAGTGTTGCAACTTCGGTGATTGTATCACCCGCTGCAATTGTCACCAGGCCGATAGCCACTACCACGACCACGCCACCCACCGCCAGCAACAGCAGCAGCAATAGCAACAGCAACAACAGTAATAAAAATGAATGGGGAAAAGTTGTTAACGATGATGTTGATGTTGATATTGAAGATGATGATAACGATGATAATGACAATGATGATGTACAAATGGAAGACGTCGCTGCTGCTGCTAATGGATTGTTAGCCTGGAGTCGCGCTGCTGCTGCGGGCCAGCTGTAGTTATTGCTAAAAAGTGTCCGCCGTTTAACAAACAAATTAAAACAAATTAATGAAAAATAATATGTATATATACAAATATATATATACAAATATATATGTATATATATGAATGGTCTCTTCTTATTTACTCTGCATTAAAATGATGCAAACCTTAAACGTAACGGTATCTCTTTTTATTATTATTATGATTATTATTATTATTATTTTATTGTTGTTGTTGTTGCTGCTGGTGTTGCCAACTGCCCAACAGCAATTGTTGTTGCTAACATTTGCGCCCTCGGCGACATTTGCAATATTTGCAATAACAATAAATCAATAATCAATAATAATTAATTATTAATTATTATCATTATGCATAAATATATACATACTGACATACATACATATTTATTTTAAAAACCTGACTTCGTTAATTCTTATGTTAAACAAACAAAAAAAGAGAAAAACAAAAGCAAAAAAAAACAAACAAATTCGTTTGGCCCAGCAATTTTATATACAACAAAAAAAAGGAAAAAAAATATATATATAAATATGTATACAGAAAATGCAAAAATGGAAAGAAATTGAAAACAAATCTTAAACAAATATACAATCTGATTTTTTTTAGTTCATAAGGTTAGTAAATTTTTTCTTAGTATTAAGTATATTTTTTGTTCTTCTTGCTCCTAGAAAAAAAGGAAAAAACAAAAACAAACAAAAAACAAGATAAGAAATTAAAAAGAAAACCGAAAATGCAAATCAAAATATTGAATAACAAATAACCAAGAAATATAATAAATAAATATGCGAAGCGTTTTACATCCAGAACATATTAAAATCCAGATTTCAAATACATAACTACAAAAATACATATACGAATATATATATGTATAAATAGTGAAATTAATGTGTATAACTAAAATTCAAAAACAACAGTTAAAAGAACCTATTGTATGTGTGTGTTAATCGCTAAGAGTATTAAGTAATTAAGCAACTGCATAAACAACCAACTGCAAACTACATAAACACTTACTCATATAAATATACATACACATGCAAAGCTAAGTAAAATCAATGAATGCTAGCTTGCTGGTAAAAAACAAATATTATAGATAAAACTTAAGTATACCTACACACACACAGACATCATCTATAGAACAATTATCCCTAAACCCAGCCCAAAACAAAAGAAAGAAAACACAAAAGCTATCCATGCTACTGTAACATATACCATATATAAAAGCAACTTTAATTTAAATGTAGTAAAATTTTAAAAAGGCAAAACAAAACGAAATGCAATAAACAAAGGAAAACAGTTAAACAGACAGAGACAGAGACAGAGACAGACAGAGAGAAAGTCAGAGTGACAGAAAGCGAGAGAGAAATAGAGATGAACAGTTGAGCAGATTTCAAACAAGTTCAAATAAAATTGATTTTTGGAGCCAAGAAGAATTCAAAATTTTAATTCAAATTTTTATTTCGGCAAAACTATTAATTTAAAAAAAGGAAAAAAAAACAAAAACTTAACAACTAAAGAACTAACATTTAGCACTGCGACCGACTATTGTGAATTGTTCAAATTACGGTACCAACAATGACGTCACAAACGACCCCAAGCCTGGGCAAATGTGAAACTGCAAAGAGCAGCAACTGGAAAGAGCAAGCGTTAGTGAGAGAGATAAAGAGTGGAAATCGAGAAAAAGAAAATACACAAGGAATTCTTAACCAAATTGGAAGTACAAACTACAATCTAGAATATGTATAAACTATAAAAACAAAACAAAAACAAAAGAAAAACCCAAAAAAAAAAGGATATAAAAATGTCATTGCTATATGAAATATGCATATAGATTTTTTTCGAATTAAACGCAGCAGCCAATGGGCTCGTTTGAGAAGAGAAACAATGATGAAGCACATGCAATGGAGGCAACGGCAATAAATTGAGCTAAAGCGCAATAGCAGCAGCTGCTGCAGCTTTTAAAGAGAAAATTGAAAAAGAATGCAGCAAAAATGGATATGGAAAAACACATTAAAAATGAAAATTGAAAATTGAATAAGAAGCAGGCGTGGAATATTTCTTTGAAATTGTTTTTTGCCGTGATTTGAATGAAATTCATAATGGTGGCCATTGTTTTTTTATGTTTTCGGAATGCGACAAAAGTTTAACAAAATAAAATACAAAACAAAAAAAAACAAATAATTTTCTTTAAGCAAGCAAAACATTTTTACAATTGTATTTCGTTTTTATTAAGCATTAGTTTTAAATAATAATAACAACAATCGTATATATACATAATTTACATATTGAGCAACACACAAGAAAAGAAGAAGAAGAGAGAGAAAAGTAGATGAAGCAAAAGTTGAATAAAAATTTGAATACAATTTATATTGAGTATACGTTACGTTGTCATTATACAAATTTTTTGTTTTTTCTCTTTGCTAATTCCCGTACACCAACACACAACAACAACACACACACACACACACCTCGATCTTTTTCGTTGCGTTCTGGAAATTATTTAAATTTAAGTGATTTTATTAAAACAAAAGAAAACAAAAATTTATCCATTATTGTATAGTTACAAAAAAAACATACATAAATCATACTATTTTATGTTAATAATCATATGATTTTTACTATTATTAATTACCAATTACGAAATGGAACGCAGACGAATGCAAATTCTAACAAAAGGATCCTCAGAGCGCTGATCAAGCAAAACAAAAAAAATGAAAAAATTAAAAAAATGAAGAAATGGCACAAGAACAGAAAACAAACGTCAATATAAAATTGTGCAAATAACTGTAAAAACTAATGTAAATCGAGGGCTCGAGATCGTTGTCAATATGATCCATAAGAACTAGAAGAACAAGACGAAAGCTAAAGGAAAGGAAGAAAAAGAAACAGAAATCCACTTATGCTACAAATGTCATTTCAATGTCAAGTGCAAGTGACCACAAATTACAACAACAACAAGCAAGAAAGAAAGAAAAAACAAGCAAACAAACACCCGTTTTATTAAAAATATACAAATTGTTATTTATAATTAAAAAAGCAAACAACAAACGACTTTGTTTTTATTTCATTTATCGTTTATCATTTATCATTTCTTTACAGTTTCAGTTGCTTTAATGTTTTACCACACTTTTTTGACCTGACTTTCTCGTATCGTATAACGGTTTCCGCATTGCAATTCTATGCAAAATATATCGAAAAATAACTTAGAGCAGCAGCACATCAAGTAGATCTATTTTAGAATATTTCACTAACTGACACGGTTTCTTCAAAAAGGGTCTCACATATTGATAAAAAGCAGCTATATCAATGTTAACTTTTCCCAAAAACTTTTTGATATCGTAGATATGATATGTCTGTGGAAAGTCTAAACAGAACTCAATTAGTTATTCAGCTATACTTAACCTGAAATTTGTACATTTATTTCGATTTCTTTTTCAATTTTTGGTTCTTTTTCGATTTGATTTTCGACCTCAATCAGATAAACATAATAATTGATATGTAGTTAAATGTAATCGGTCAAATAGATTTGCCAATATATGTATGTGTATGTGTACTTATTAAGGAAACCAAAGCCATATATGAATATCTATAGATACAAATAGCATATTTCCTTCTGATATTTACAGTGTATTCAGTCGTTCAATTGATGTGTTTAACGTTAATATTAACATTAGGCGATCAAATCAAGAATTCCGATCGAAAGGTCGATAGATCGATAGATCAAGAGTTCAAGAGGTCAAGTATACAAATAGATATCTCAATCTGGCAGGCTGAAAGTCGGGATTCGGTTCCCCCACACAGAACCTGCTGGTACAGCGCGGTATGTTGCATCCACTAAACGATAACGATAACGATTAACGATTAACGATTACGATTACGATTACGATAGCTAACAAGTAAATACATATATATACACATATTAATATACATATAACATATAGCCAGCATAAAATATTATACAATACAGAACATTATATTATATCATATATGCATACATATATATATATATATATATATATATATATATAGTATGTGTCGATCGGGCCCTAAGAGCGATCTGTTTTTTGCGACTTGAATTCAAATTAATTGGTGTTGTTATATTTAAGTACTTACGGCATATTGACGATGATGATGATGATGATATATATATACTATATATCTTCAACAATTCTCCGGCCTTTGCTCACATGTGTCTCTGTGTGAGTGTGTGTGTGTGTGTGAACTTTTCTAATTGGAGAGCAAACTTAGTTATAACAAAAGAAAAACAAAAATTGCATTCAAAATAAGGCTGATTTATTTGACTTGTTCGTTTTTTTACACGTATCTAAAATTATTAGAGTGTGACTCACACACACACACACGCGCCACAGCAGCACACACTCACACACATGTAAGCCGAGTGTGTCATATCAACAAATAGTGAGCCAAAGCCAGAGATCTTAAAAGATTTAGAAATTCCACTTAAAATTAAGTACAATTTTTACAAAACCAAAACAAAAGCTCGCCCATTGGAATTAGTTAAGTGTATCAAGCGAAAAGACTTGCGCATTCATCCGATCATAGACATATATACTAACTATAAGGGCATGAGAGGTGTGATATGCAGTGCAGATGAGTAACCCCCTTTTAGGAAGAAAAAGCAGGGGCGAGAGAGGTCTCTAGACTAGACAATTGCTCAACACTGCCAACAACAACAACAACAACAACAACAGCACAAACTACATTTCCACATGCCCAACACAAACATTAGACATCAGTCATCAGTCATCAGTCATTAGTCATAGGTCATCAGTCATTAGGCTCATTCCTTGACTCTGAAAACTCTTCAAGTTCACATTTGACTCGTACTTATATGGAAGAAGCAATAAGCTGTTTATACAATCGCACGTATGTTATGTGTGTGCTGAACGCATGCGAAGCAGAAGAAGAAGATGAGGATGATAAGACACAGGGTACTGCAAGTGCATGCATACATACGCACAACATCACATAACACACACACACACACTCTTATATAAACTGACTGAAACTTCAAAAACAAAAACAAAAAAACAAATTGAGAAAAGAAATTTTAAAATAATGAATATAAGCTACATCATTTTACAAAGGGCTTAAGATTAAGTGACATTAAAAGTAAATAAAAACTAAATAATTAATAATAATTTCAATAATAGTTTTAAATAAGTTTTTCTACCCCCGAAAGTTGTAACTTTTTTACGATTTAAATTTTTACGATAATTGGCAAAACGCATTTTTTATTTACTTATGTGAGCGATCGATCTATATACATATATATATAGAAAGCTTTGGCAAATATATATATATATATATATATATATATATATATATATATATATATATATATATATATATATATATATATATATTGCACTAAAATCTAAGTTGCGTGAGAAAAAACCACAAGATGTCTTCAAAGAAATTGGCTAAATGAGAAAAATAAATAAACTTACTTTCAAAAGACTTTTCGCTCGGGTCGTTAATTTGATCTGAGAAACGCCCAGCAAAATAAAAAAAAAATAAAGTAAAAAATATATATATATATTATAATTTGCATATTGGTAAATAACTGAAAAAGAAGAATATTGTACTGAGCGTGCGTCAAAAAATCGTATATATAAATTATTATTAACATAACATTTACAATGATCATTTAACTAAGTTTACAATGTGAAGCAAGAGGAGAAAAATGTTTTTTAAGATTTAGACGTACGTAAGAATCGATTAATCTATTAAAACTTTGTTATCACTGAAGCCACTTAAGAGCTGTAAGATCTATAAGCAACACTTAAGAGCTTTACTACAATCACATGCTCGACAACTTTAGCTACAGATGTATATATACATCTCGTATATATATACATTTATATCGAATACTCACAATCCAAAACTTTCTACCCGATGCGAGTCCACATCCATCATTCATTTGCCATTTAGCAGACATACGAATAAGATAAACACTTGTAGTATGCATTATGAATATATATACACATATATCTCGAGAGTAGTTCGTATAATTGTTGTTGTGTCTTCATTCGCAATCCTTAAGGATTATCATAAAATATAATATGTTTAAGCAACACACACACACACACTCAAACACACAGACAGAACATGTTTTGTTATGTTTATTATGGCTCATCCCACATGTTGTTTAGGTTCTATATATCCTTAAGCTATAAGAAGAAGAAGAAGAAGAAGAAGAAGAAGAGTTGACTCGAACTATATAAACTATGCATTATGTTAATGATACTTTACTCTAATTTGGTAAACAACAAAACTAGTTGAACTGGTTGTCATATTCATCATCAGCATCATCATGCATCAGTTAAAGCTAATGCTAATGTAAGATTGAAAATTGATTGAAAATATAAATATGAATACCACATAACAAGGTACAAAAATAGATGCAATGCCTCGACCAGGTGTTCGCTAGGAACAGGTGAAACGCAAATCAGAAAACAGTTACAACCAACACACCCACACACACATACACACACACAAGCATACTTATAAAGTTGAATTTAGCATAAATAAGTTTTCAAAAACAGTTTAACCAAAAAGCAAAAACTAAAAAACAACTTAAATGTCGTGTAAATTCATGTTTAAATAGTTGAATACTCACATATATAAAATAACATAAACATTTAACCAAACGGTAATATGCAGTTAATAATTACATACATATATACGATATATACGACATAAATACATACTTATTGAAATGCAAGCCAAAGCATTTTCGGAATAGAGTAAAGCTTGAATACAGTTTCAGACCGAATTACAGCAATCTAAATATTATGGAATCTAAATATTAAAACTCGATGTACTAGTGATTGAATGTGACATGCATTAACATACTTCTATATATATATAAATGTATATGTATACCGATAACTGCAGATATATGCATGCACGCACACACACACCCCCTACACACACACCTTCATAGTATTTACATAACGAGTGGAACAAGCAGAAGTCAAACAACCTACAGCAAACTTTTAAACAAACAGAGTCAAAGTAAAGTAAAGTAAGAATCTTTAAAATATCTAAAGCAAAAATAAAATAAAAATTAAACATTTTACGTGAGAATCGAGTACCTACAGAAAGGAAACAAAACAAAGTGAACAGAAGCTAAAAGAAAAGAGTAAAGAAAATTATATACATTCTATATTTTTTGCAAAGCAAACTTGTAAAAACAAAAACCAAAAACAAAATCAACTAACTAGAAAAGCCAGCAAATGAAAACAGATATTTAAAAAAGAAAGAAAAAAGAAAGCAGACTATAAAAACATTTTTTAATTGAGAACAGAAAATGGGAAACTCTTGAACTACAAATATATGCATATACGAGTAAAATCTTTTATATGTACATATACATACATATATATATACATATATTTTGCGTATTTATATATTTACACACATACACGCACATACACACACTTGGACATGCTGGAACACTGTTTACCTGTCTACAACAAAATGCATAATATAGATATATATATATAAAGATATATATGTATATATATATATGTATACTTAAAAGAAAACAGCAACAAATTTACATATATTGAGACTCGGTTCGCTTTTTTGCTTCAATAGAAATCAGTTTTATGCTAAGTTCGATCAAGTTGAATCTACTAGAAATTGAAGATTCCGCGATTTTTCTCATAAAGCTAAATGTAATTGTGTCTACATAAGTGTATAAATGTATCAATCCATAATCACACACTCACACACATACACACACACACACACACTGAGTATAAACAATATACAGTAAACAAATGAAAAATCACTTTCACTCCATTTGCATCGATCATCATCACAATGCATACTAACGTAATCTAAGCAGATGAAATAGAGAAAATACATAAAAATATATATTCAACTTCTTCGAAATCATTTAAATGTTAAATGTATATGTTAATTCTAAACAATAAACCAAAATATACAAGAAAAAAATACAAAAAAAATACAAAAAAAATGCAAAAAATATGAAGAATTTGGAAGAGAAAAAACAAAAGCCATTTGAAATAAAACAAGTACTAAAACTAAGCAAACCAAACGAAATGAAAATTCTATGATATAATAAAATAAAAAATGATACTTCAATTTTGAGAAACACCTGTTCTTCCTTGCTACTCGAAGTAATTTCCGTTTCAGCTGAAGATATTTATTTTCGAAATCCCGCTCCAGCTAATTATCGATTTGACAATCAATATATGCGTTTTATAGCATTCAACTTTGCGTTGTATGCAATTCGCGAATTGTGGCAACGCCAAGCACATTGCCTTCGCTCTTTTTACATCAGGGCAACAGAAATATTCATAAAAAACAAATAAAAAATAAAAATACTAACACGAAATTTACTTTCGTGCTTTGATAGAATTCCATTATTCACTTTGAGTGCTAACAAACGCATAATGAGTGACAGCATGGAGAATGACAGCAAAAGCGAGAACGTCGAAGATGGGCTGCCCATAAAGCCGTCGTCGACGTCGACGTCTACGTCAACGTCAAAGGCAGCAACAACAACTGAAACAGAAACAGAAACAGATTCCGACAGCCCAAACGAAGAAGGTTTAGTAAAATAGACATTCAAGTAAATGTTGAATTTGTTGTCAGATAATTCATTTTCAGATGGCACTATGGATATGATTCGTCGATTCTTTTCACATACTTTTAATTTGGCATCGGGCACTGCGGACAACGAAGGCCCAATTGTGGATAAGGTGAGCTTTATCTCTAATTTATGCAGATTATTTGTATGTATGAATGTATGCACGTACTTGCCTCAGGTAATTCCGGAACTGACCTTTGAAGGTCTATCGTCTCACTGGCGCGAACATGGCTTTAAAAACATTGTGACAATGGTGGGTGCTGGCATCTCCACGTGTGAGTTTGACATTTCCCCAGTTTAATTTTGAATGTGCTAATTGCTAATCAAATACTAAAAACACATCTCCACTTAGCTGCGGGTATTCCGGATTTTCGATCGCCCGGGTCTGGTCTGTACAACAATTTGAAAAAGTACAAGCTGCCGCACCCGACAGCAATCTTTGATGTCGACTACTTCCAAAAGAATCCGACCCCTTTCTTCGCACTGGCCAAAGAGTTATATCCGGGCTCCTTTGAGCCGACGCCGGCCCATTACTTTGTCCGACTGCTGCACGAGAAGGGTCTGCTACAACGGCATTATACGCAAAACATCGACACGCTGGATCGTTTGGCCGGTCTACCCGAGAACAAAATTATTGAGGCGCACGGCAGCTTCTATACGAACCATTGTCTCAATTGCAAACAGCAATACGATATGGCCTGGATGAAGAGTAAAATATTTGCAGATGAGCTGCCGAGCTGCGAACACTGCAAGGGACTTGTGAAGCCGGACATCGTGTTCTTTGGGGAAAACCTGCCTGGAAAGTTTTACAGCAGTCCCGAGGAGGATTTCCAGGACTGTGATTTGCTCATCATCATGGGCACGTCGCTGGAGGTGCAGCCCTTTGCCTCGCTGATCCATCGCGCTGGCCCCCGTTGCATTCGACTCCTGATAAATCGCGATGCCGTTGGACGCTCCAGCTTTGCGCCTTGGATGGATTCCAATGGAAAGTCTTTGCTCTATGGAAAACCGAAGAATACGCGGGATGTGGCTTACCTTGGCGACTGCGATGCTGGTGTCTTGGCACTGGCCGAGGCACTGGGCTGGGCAGAGGAACTCCAGCAGCTGATCAGTAACGGGCAACAAATAATAGAAGAAAAAACTGACAACAGCGCTGACACGAACGTAGCTGAGCCTCAGGCCAAGGAGGAGGAGGAGACTGTGAAATGAGGCTAAATTTAGACTAGTATTTCCAATTTAATTTACATTAGAAATTGTGACAAAGGAAATTTTTTCATGCGTGCAATATGTATGTATGTTTGTATTTAATTTCATAAGAAGAGTGTGGTAACTGGATACGTTTTAAGCATATGTATATAATTGTATATATATGTGTGTAAATATGAGTGTTTGATGAACGAAAGTATTTTCCCATTTGTTTTATTTTTTTAATTATTCAGCGGCTTTCGCAAATCATGTGGCTAGATTACAAATTGATTCAATAGATTAATCATGCACATAATAGAGCAAAGCAAGAGCTCGAGCTCTTTGGTACCACTAATACTAGAATCGAATTCATGTACTTAAGTCGTGCCTGATGGAGAGCCCCAGCAATGACGCAATGCATCGGTGCGGCTCTGATGAAATCCCTAGCTGACTCATATTCTATAGTTTTCTTTAGCTATTTTGGCCTATTAGCAAAATAATCATGAAGATAGTTTGTTATATCTCGTTATTAGTACTGATATATATATTGCAACTGCAGCATATTAAGATCAAACCAAGTTTCACAGTAAATGATACCAAACTATTTTGTTTGTCATGGTGAAAAAAAATTACTACATAGTAGCTTATCACTCAGCCCTCATAGTGGTCAGTGATAAGAATATATTGGCATTGAATGGAAATAGATTTAGATAAACAGTAGATAACGGAGATAATATATATACAGTAACAGATTGAAAAGCAATTTGTACAATTATTTTTTAATCTATTATTGTAAGTAACGCAAAAACATACCAAATTGGATAGGTGCAAACTTGCCCAGCAGTGAGATCCGAGACTGTAGCAGAGTAATTTCTAGCATATTTTAACAGCTTTATTTGTGAAACATTTTGAAAACATCACAATGGTGAAATACACATTTTTAATCAAATATTGAACTTGTTGAAGTAATGCCGTCATAATAGATAAGGCACATACATGATTGCTTTTGATTAAAATTGGTTTGTTATTTGGGTAGCTCAAAGTAACCCGCATGCAGCATTTGGGGCAGCAGATACTCCAGCTCTTGTTGGTATCCCTTGTCCTGGAACAATTCCAACCGACGCTGTTCGTCCTCTATGAACTCACCGGGATCCTTGCCCTGACGCATGCCGTACGAAACGGGCAACAATGTAGTGAGCAGAAAGTAATCTATGAAAGAAGACCACAACCAATATTAGATGATGATAAAGCTGTTCGATATGGACTTACCACTGCATCTCCTGTCAAAAATCTGCTTGCGTAGCTCTATCAAGCTAGGCGTCTCTCCTTGGTAGCCAATCTTAGACAATGTCTTCGTTAAGGTATCAAAGTAATAGTAAAGAAGCTCATCACATTTGTCCTTTCGTTCGTCCGCGCTGAACAGCATGTATTTGGCGTACTGCAGATCGTTGGCAATGGAGCCGACGTAGGACATCTGGAAGTCTATCAGCATGCAGTCGTTGTCCTTGAACATCATATTACGAATGTGAAAGTCTCCATGACATAGAACATAATAGGCATTCGCTTGCCGGTTCTCGCGATATTCTCGTATGACGCCTTGCCAGCGCTTAATAATATTTTCCCGCATTGGCTCAAAGTATTTGCGATACGTCTTTAAGCTATCCATCTGGCTGAGCATGTTTATAAAGTTGGGTAGGGCGCTGGTCATGACGTCCATTTCCAAAAAGTTGGGCATGGTTGTGACATCATATTGTAACTTATCAAATATTTCCGGCTGCTCCCGCAACAACTTGAAGCTTACCGCATGCCACTTGGCCAGTTTTGACAGCACGGAGCGCAGCTCGTCGAGTGTGGCATTTCGATTGCGAATCACTTGGTAGCCCTGAGGCAAGAGATCCTCGAAGATCATGACCTGTCGTGGCTGCAAGCTGTAATAGACGCAGACCGCACAAAACTTGATCTCTTCACCTGCTGCGCGAAGTATCGCCTCGAACCTGGGCAGAACTTCCGTATACATTTCAATCTCTGTTTGGAATATTTTGGAGTCGCTAACGAACTCTTTTTTTTGCCCATCCATTTCCGGCATTGTCTTAATGATAAGCGACTTCGAATAGTTTCTCTTTTGAGACGAATACTCAACGTTGGCTCGAAACATAACACTCGCATAGTGATCGCCCTTGGCACTGGCAGGCGATATCTTTAGAGCACTCAGTGTCAGACTCGGCTCCTTGAAATGCGACACTAGCACCTCCTGCAAGAATTGCTTGTTCAGCCAGGCGGGCGCTTCCAGCTCATCTGAATTGTAGGCATCGTTATTTGACGACATTATAAACTGGGCCGACGTCGCGACGTGCCGTCTGTTGCTCAGTTATAAACAAACTAAAAGAAATCCGAGTCGCATTCCGTATTTATACGAGTTTTACTATCTTCATATCTTGAGCATTTCAAGTACCTTATAAAAGATCTAAATGTCGTTGGATTGATTAAGAATATTTATTTATTAATTTTTGTATTGTTCATAGTTTACATATGGGAGAAATACTTTAGTTATCTAGTTGAAAAGCAATGTCTTGCATGATATGCATAAACATCATCAGATGCAAAATAATATTTAACTGAAATATGGTACAATTAATAAACTTTTGAGCACGTAATAAAATACAAATCAAATATTGGATTTTCAGAAACTCAGTAAATGAGAACTCTTTAACCGGTTCTCCGCAAACCAACAACGTAAAATGTTGCTAAATTATTCTACTTCGCTCTCAACGTGCCCGGCTCATGACAGTCATTAACCCAGTGAGATTGATGGCTTCTGTCTCTCTCTCTCTCTCTCACTCCCGTGTTACCGCTCGCATAATACACAATTATTGTGTTTGACGACGCTTTCTCAAACGTATGTATGTATGTATACGCCCGTATTGGCGAAGCCTTCTCCTTTAGCCGTGGACAATGAATGCGAAAACGCTTGTCATTCTGATACATAGAAAATTTTAGCTTTTCATAACTATTGTTGGAAAGGGTATTAAAGTGATTTCTTAACTAAAAAAACATTTGCCGTAGTAATCAGTGTGGTAACTTTCTTTGCTTAACTTAAATAAAGTTTTGTACTATAGTTAATATGTACATAGGGCTGTGTTTGCATTAATAGTTATCTATATAAATAAAATTACAATTAAAGTTATTCCATTTAGCGTATAACCGAGTCGCATATACACTCCAGTTGTGTGCAGTAGTTTGCCTCTTCTTCAGTACTGATAAGTTCCAAACACTGTGCACACGCAGAAGAGGCTTGTATTGCTGAACACCTCCGTGACGGAAGTATCGCAATCGCAATCCCAGCAGCAGCGCGATAAGTAGGTGCACCCGGCGCCCAGCTCTTGACCCAACATCACTTGCACCACATGTTTGTAGCGCTTTACTTTCGGACTCGCTGCAATTTTTTGGTTCACCTCATCCGCTATTTCGCTCGTCCATATCTTGGCAATGTCCTTGTCATATATTTTGTCTGTAATTGTCTCGGTTGCTAAGCAACGTTTATTTGTTTGGATACAATTCAACTTACCTTTCAGTTTCTCTGTCATTGTGGTGCTTATAATATTCCGAACGATTGGTAAAGGAAAAGATTCACCAAATGCTGGTCGCATGCTGTAAGCCGCAGGCTGACCCGCTGGTTCCTCCTCTATTTCTGCATCCGCTGAGAGTTGCGCCGACGCAGATTGCATCTGTTTTTTATCCTGCGAGCCTGTGTTGCTTGCGGTTTTTGGAATGGACCTTTCTTTATTGGTCTTCTTGCTCATTTTGTCTTCAGGCATACTGATGCAATCCAAGCCAAATAGATTTTGAAAGAACAGTTCTGTTCATAGATGAATGCTTGTTTGGAGCCGCCTGTGTTGTTATGCTATTTTCTAATAGAGATGGACTTTCAATGAGCCAATACCGAGGAATGATATCGAATATGTAATCGATAAGTCTGCGAAAGCGTGACTACGGCGTTGCCATCTTGTTCAGAAGTGCTCGAGGATTAAATGAAATTTGTCTGTTATTCACAATTCATAAATTTTTATTCAAGTTTAAACAAATCAAAAAATTACATAATAAATTCGATAAATATGTGGATTAAAGAAAATAAATAATAATACATAATTTTAAATAACTTTTTAGTATATATTAAAGCAAAGTGTTTTGCTCCTTAATATATCTTTATATACGTTTGTATTATACATATGCATGTTTATATTTATGTATATATATATATATATATATTTATAGAAAATATTTGTGTGTAAATCTTTGTGTTCACTTTGATTTTAGTTGGGCAGCAAATTTCATGCATGAATGAGTGACATACAGCGATCGTAAAAAATAAAAAATCGACACACAATTCACAATATCATAAACAAAAGACATTTAAAAATGATTAAAGAAGGATACACAATTTGCACATACATTTTCACGTTTCACACTTAACTTATTACACAACATAATACAACATACAATGATCAGACAAATCATTAAAATGTTTCGAAGGGCTGCAACAAATTAAATGACTAAAACTTTTTGTGTATAATAATGTTCGAAACTAACTGAGCTTTAACTTTAAAATTGGCAAACGTTGTCTATGTAGTTTTCTTTTCTATAGTTTTTTGCTTTTATACATTAATGTTGCGCGTTTTATGAAAAATATCTTAATCGACTATTATAAACTATTCCGCCAGAATGCATACTCGGCGTATAATTTGCTCGTTTATCTTACAGCTCTCTATTTTTAGTATCGTTATCGTTATTGTTTTTGTTTTCTTTTTTGTTTTTGGTACATTTCTGCTTAAGTATTTAGGCGTAAAAATCCATGCCAGATCTCGTTAGCCAGTAAACCCCAAGGCAAGTTTAAAATTCAAATCTGAAAGTACATTATATAATTTGCTATTTAGTGGATTTATAATTGAATGAAGAGAGGCGTCTTCGAACTTACATTCGATTCTTCCTGTTCATGCGAATGTCCGGTTAGTGTAATGCCCGCGTCCGTCGAGCTTGAGGCAGTGCCGGCTGCGGTAAGATCCATCTGTGAAGCGTTTGGTCGTAACGAGGCACGTTTAGCCACAATTTCCAGCATCTCATTGAGTATTGCACCCTCCGCGGCCACATCGGCGGAGCTCTTATCCAGTTCTACAAATTCATTTCAAGTATTATTAACTGAAAAAAGGTGGAGGAACATTTCATGACACTTACTATTACAAGACAAGCGCAAATTGAGCTCTTCTTTAAGCTGAGCATGTCGATACTCCAGTTGCAGTTCCTGTTGTCTTATAGTAAGTTCCTCATCACGTTTTCTAAATGTCGAAAAACATGTTTTTTTTTGTTATTTATTTATTTCTAGGGATTCGCATTCTTTAGTGCCATACTCACTTCAGTGCTGTGATATTACGCCAAATTTCCAAAAGTTCCTTTAATAGCTTATCGTCATTGTCCTTAGTTGTGTCCAGGCTGCAAGATGAAGGTGTTAATTCTGGTGTTAATTTATACTCGTATACTTTAGCTGCATTTATATTTACTTTTCATAGTTTTGCGCCTCGCCCCGCAGGGCTTTCTCAATTAGAACGCCTCGAGCCTCCAGCTCCTTCAATTGCACCTCTAGCTCCTCCTGTTCACGCTGTATTTCTTGAGCGATTCGCAATCGCTTGAGTTCAGCCTGTCGCGAAGCCTTCGATATGGCACGTTGCTTCTTATGCTCTCGTGTCTCGTTAGCGTTGCTCTCATCTATATTTCACACACAAATATATATATTTATAAATATGTATTAGATGTTGGTATGGAGTATATAGACAAAGATTTGGGAAATGTTTACATAAAATGAGTTTAACAAACCATCGGATCTTTGATAATTCAGTGGCAAAGGCGGTATGGGTGGCGGGATCTGGTCGTCCATGGCAATCGATGCGGCCAAATGATGGGGATTATGTATATAGAGCTGCGGGCTGGACGATGAGAACGATTCGGTGTTCGCTTGCTTTCGATAGCGACTGTTGTTCGTTGTGTTGAGGTAATCTTGGGCGTGTTTCGTTTGTGTTGTGATTGTTGCAGTTGTTGTGCTTGTTGGCAATATTGCATTGTTTGTGAACATATCCTTGTCCTAAGTTTGTGTTTCATTGAAATATATTTAGTTAAAAATTGAGTGTATGTGGCGTATATTGTTTAAGGATCGGCAGCAATGGCATAAAAGAAACATTCGAAATGTAAACAATTTTCAATTCTCAGTTATCAGTTTTAAAACAAAATGTTATTAACAACTTATATATAAAAAACACAAACGTGCCTCGCTAATAACTATTTAAGAGGAGTTCAATTGGAAACCGCACCAAATATCCAATAACCAATTCATGCAACATGTACTTATATATAAAAATAATAAACTATGAAACACCCCAAACATTTTCCATACAACTAAGTAGATCTATAAACAAACTTACAGAATATTTGAAAATAATTAGCATTGATTTAATTAATCAAAATCTTAAACAATTTATAACATATAAAAAGGTAATTGTAGGCGTATGTTAAAAAATAATATCTTTAGATGCATATAGAAACGTATAAGGCCCCATAAAACCAGAAAAGGTTTATGTATTCATAAAGAAAATAATAATAATTAAGATATATATAATCATAAGGTCTCAGGCAAGTTATGACTTAAATATTTTCAGCTGCAAGTGCGAAAAGAAAATAAAATTGAAATAAATAAAAAATGCTTTCAAGCATAGTTAGAAAATAAATGAAATGAAACCATTTAAAGTTAAAAAATTAAAACATTTAAATGCATTGAAATGAAACATAAAATAAACGATAAATGGGCAAAACTATATTTTAATAATAGATACATTTTATTTTTAAGTTAAATTTAAAAAAAAAATTTTTTTTAGATATTCGAAACATAAAATGCTCAAGCCAAAAATGAATTCCAAATCAATGAAAGTGTGAAGATTATTGACAGTTTATAGTAGTAGGTAGTTATGTAAAAATATTCTTACACCAAAACCGAAATTCCGCAGATCAAAGCAAGACTGTAAAATGTTGATAAAAGTTTAATCTTTTTGTTTTATATGAAGGACAGACATAGTACACCGCACACAAATTTAAATAAGGCAAGATTTTACAGCCTCATGTAAGCCCCAGTTTGTGATGCACGATTAGTTAATGATTTCTTTGTGAGTCCGCACACAGAACTAATCACATTGAGCTGAACGTGGTTGGGGATGTGGCGAAGACTTACCTTAGACTTCTCCTTCGATTTGGGTGAAATGCGGAAGCGGCTGAAGACGCCGCCGCCCCCGCCCCCGCCGCTGCCTGCTTCGGAGATAGTGGGCGTGCCACTGCTGCTAGTGCCCGGACGCTCTGAATGCTCAGAGTGACAGGCAGCTACAGCGCCGCCCAATTCCTTGGGACTGCTGGACGCCGAGGCTGTTGTTGAGTTGGTGCTGCTCTTATGAAAGAAGTTGGACAAGGATTGTATAAGACTTTTGCGACGCTCTGGATCCTTATGTCTCTTGCTACTAGACTTGCTCTGCAGCGGCTTCTCCTGCCCACTGGCCGCCAAATTGGGATCCGATGTAAAGTCCGCTGCTTTGGCTTGGCTGACGGCATCGTTGTCCAGGCGCAGCGGCTGCTGTTGGCCATGGGTGACCATGTAAGCCAGATCGTTGACACTCTTAGAAGCGCTCATTTTGCGAGCACGTGCTGTTAGGTCGCTGGCTACTGCATCTTGCTGCCTCGCCTTAATGGCGCTGTTCTGATCATAATGTAGACGCTTGCGTAGCAATTGCATCTTTTCCTCGGGGCTCAAGCCCAGTTCGGTGTTGGACTTTAGCCGAGCACGTGCTCTGGCCTCGCTGCGCAGATTCTCCGTGGACGTCGAAGAGATGCCCACATCGACAGCTTGCTCGATCTGTCGTTGACTTTGCCCATGGTTCCCGTTGCGATGCGGACGCACTGGTGCGCTGGGCGTTGTGAGCTCATCTACTTTGCCGTAGCTAAACGAGGCGGTCTTATTGAGCTTATGACGCTCCAGCAGACTCAATTGCTCAGCATCGATATGTTCGCTGAAGGGACGCGACTTGTACAGATCTGCTGTACGCATCGCTGGCTGCTTTGTGCGATAGGGCGATACATAGGTTGCAGTTGCCGACTTCTGTAGCGGATTTGGCTGCACGAAAATGTCATTCGTTTGCTGGCTTGGCCGGCTGGTCAACTGCTCAGAAGCTGTCGAGACATGGTAGTGCGCCTGGCTGCTGCAGTTGGCATCGCTGGAGCTGCTGGCTGCGGCCAATTTGGGCGTGGGACTGAGACTAGCGCCACTGGCATAGCCACTAGTCAAGAGGCTGCGTTGTCGGCTGCGATGCAGACGCTTCTCGGCATTTAGTTGCTTCTTCGATTGCAGCTTGTCCATGACCAGATCGTGTATGAGATCCTTTTGCTTGGTGCGTTCCTTGCTGATCTCCTCCAGCTTGCTGTTAAGCGTAGGTATCTCAGGTACTTTGCTTGCCGAGCTGCTGCTCCTGGGCCGCATGCTTGCCGTCGTGCCGTTCTCTCCGGCTGCCCTCGGCGCATCCACTGCTGGCGCCTGCAGCACGTTGGTAGCTTCTATCACAGTTGGCGGCTGCATATTGGGCGCCTCACCCTTGGAGCTCTTGCGTCGCTGCGTGCTAATCTGCGAAATGCGCTGCTGCAGCGCACGCACGTACTCGAACTGGATCTGCATGTCTTCGTCCGTTTCCTTGGCCGGCACAGGAGCTGGTGTCGAGCTACTGCCGCTGCTATTTGTGGTCACCGTCGACTGTGTCGTCTTTGGTTGCTGCTCCGAGCTGCTTGGCGTTGACGCATCCGGCTTGCCTGCGGCCAGCATTGACGCGAACTGATCGAGCACCCGCGGCGATGAGGTGTCCAATGGACTAGTGACCACCGTCAGCGCTTCGCTTTCTTCTGTGGTCGTTATAGTGGGTTGCGTCTGCGACTGAGCCATAGCGCCAAGACTGTCCTCGTCCAGATCGTTTAGTGTGCTCGAATCAGTCAGTGATTGCGTCATCTGTGAGCTGATGGGTAAACGGGGTGTCTCATTTACTGGCGTCTTGGCATCATCGTGCATTATGTAGGCGCCCTGCTCAATGTAATCGATGCCGAGCTTTTCGTCCCGCTTGGTCAGCAGCGGCTGTGGCTGTGCCTTTGTTTGGCCAGCAGCCCTTGTGCGCGTGTTTTCGGTGGTAGCCGACTGCTTTGGCGCCGTCTCAATGTATTCCATGTAACCGCGATTATGCAGCAATGCCGTGTTGGTCGCTGAGTAGGCCTCGGCGCAGGAGCCCTCGGAACCAGTGTCCATAAACTCAATATCATCAAAGTCAATGGCATGGAGTATACCCTCCATATGAGCGACGGGCGCTTGTTTGGCCAGCTCGTGCAGCACCTCGCTGCTGCTGGGCAGCTTGACTGCCCCACTGCGACGTCGCTCCTTGCGCCGCTTCATTGTGCCCTTGTTAGAATTGATCACGAACTCCATGTCTACAAAGTTCTCCGAAATGCAATCATCGGCTGTCCAGTCGGAGAGCTCAGTTTCCGTTAGCACCTGGCCGGTGCCAGTGGGCTCTGTTTCCGAGTCGGAGCCGTGCGAATTCATATCTCCTGTGGGCGTTTTGTCGCTGTCATGCTGCGTGGGCGTGGTCGGGGTATCTGGCGTCTTGGCCATGCTACTGCTCAGGTTAAGCGTAACAGGCTTTACCACATGGCTATGCTCCACATGTTGTTCTACGATCAACGGCAGATTCTTTAAGCTCTCGATTTTGTTTTCATTTTTACTGTCGAACTTAAGCTTGGGTGGTCCCATTTCCGGCAGTGGTGGCGGTGGTTGTGGCTGACGCTCCGTCTCGATAACTGTACACTCCACAGGTTCTGGAGTTGCCGTCACTGGTTCCACATCCGCTTCGTGCTCGTCGTCCAGTTCGCTGGTCTTTACAGCTGGAGCCGGTGGAGACGGCACGATGACACCTGCTGGCATATCCAGATATTTGACATCTTCTGGATCACCAATATACTTGCCATTCACAATCATCAGGCTGTCCACTTGCATTAAGGCACCGCTGCTGTCGTGCACCTCAACGCGCGGTACATTGTGCTTGCTACCTGCCGTCTGTGTGTCCGGACTGGTCGTGGACTCAAGGATATAATGCTGTATATCTTCGATACTAGAGCTGCCCGAACTGGAGCAGCTGGTGGCGCTGCTGGCGGTAGTAGACATCATTTCCGACTTGGGATTGGTCCACGGTATGTTGGGCACTTGGATTTGAAGTGTATCCTGTTCGTATTGCTCTTGGTCCAGATCCGCAGCCTTCTCGGGCGAATCGCGCTTCTCCTCGTCGGATTGACAGAGCAGTGACTGTTGCTCCTCAGAGTCGCCGGCGCTGGATGCCTCCTTCTTTGCTTTGATATCACCCAGTATATCCGGTATGCACTCCTTTACATCTTTCGACACATCTGGCTTTATCACCTCCTGGTTCAGATCATTTAACTTATTACTGTCCGAGATTTTCGCAGGTGAATCTACCAGCTCAGTGCTGTCCTCACTTGGTTTCTTTGGCGTCTCCAGCACCGTGAGATCAATGAACGGCACGGCCATCTCGGGCGTGACCAGATCAATTATCTCGATGACAGTTTTGTTATTGGTGGGCGTCGTTGGTGATAACTTCTTGTTGTGCTGCTCCATTAAAGTGGCATTCACCGCATCCGTATACTCCATGCCCTTGTTCAGCTCGTTCTTGCTGTTGACGAATACGTTCTCCTTCTCGTTGTCCGTGGAGTTGCTAGACGGCGTCTTCTGAATCTTCAGCTCGACGCGCAGATCATTGATCACATTCGTAGTAGCCGAACGCATCAGATCATTCTGTGTATTCTGTGCGTTGTCGCCCAGCTTGGTGCGATCAAGGAAACTGCGCATAGCGGCACTGATGTCACTACTGGGATTCAGTAGCTTCTGGCACTCGGAAATATTGGACTGGAAACTACGTATGCGCGAGTCCAGAACCGAGGTAGAGCCGGACTTTTGTATCTTGTTGCCATTGGCCGGTTCGCCTAACAAATAACGTTTCTTCAGTTCCAGACTCTTCTTGGAGGCAATGCCCTCGGTGCTGGCCGTCTTGTTGAGAAGGTAATCACCAGGTCGTGGATTTTGTAGCGGCACTCGCTGGCTGCCAATCAACAGCGTTGGATCCACCTGCACCAGTGGCTTAAACTGTGGCTGCACCGGCTGTGGTTGGTATTTCTGCAAATAACTGCCGCCCTTTTCGCGCGACGCCATCTGCTTCTGGTGCAGGCCGGAGGCACTAGCTGTGATCATACTAGACTTGATCTGGAAGGCAAGTGAATAGATAAGCATTGCTACATTTTGCGTACTTCTGATTTCTTTTACCTGAACTTTTGTGGGTTTCCTTAGATGTGTATCATCAATAAAGATTTTCGGCGCCTGCCGTATGATCTCATCATTGTCGAATTCTGAATCGGTGGATATTTCTGTGGCAGAGTTAAGCTCAACTTCATCGGGCGATGTGCTCTCGGATTCGGTTTGTACCTGCAAGTGTAGCCATGGACCAATAGGATTTAATATCTTGATCAACATAATAATCAATACAATAAAGCAGTGCACATAAAACGTATAACATATGAACAAAAAAGCATCAAGAGAAAGGCGGGTGCTAAGATCAGCAAGATCCCAAGCTCGGCAGTATTCTTTTTGATTTACTTTTATGACTTGGATTGTCAAACATGCTTAATTAGTCATAGCTTGGATTGTAGTTGTTGTTGTTGTTGTTGTTGTGGTTGTTGTTGTGGTTGCTTGTTGGGTTAATCAGCGACAGCGACAGCGGCAGCAGCAGCAGCAACAGAGGCAACATCATGCCTTTAGGTACGATCCAGAAAGGTACATACGAATACAAAATCGAACTAAACACAACGCAGACTTTGGTTACATGGGTTAGATCTGGGTTTTAAGTGTAGTGTGTAGGTTTTAGGCAGGTTATGGGGTACATAGAACGAGGGCGAACGGCACAACAATTTTGTCTATATATAGTTTTAGAGACTACAAACTTTGTTTTTGTTTTTTTTTTTTTGATCGAGCTGCTCGGGGGTTAGCGCAACATTTCGTGTAGAGTTTTGATTGAATTTACCTTTATAGATCGTACCCAGACGCTTTTTAAACGCTATGGCTAACAAAGGTGTAACTCTCTTTTTCTCTCTTTCTTTCTTTATCTCAAGACCGGGACAGACTTGACTAAGTTGTAGGCGTGGCAGACAGGCAGGCGGGCGGACAGGCTGTAGCGATGGGTTCTTTCGGTTGACGGGGAACGTAGTGTGGACCAGATTTTGGTCCACAATAAAAATATCCTGGCATGTTTTTTGTTTAGGTGTTAGTTTAGGGGAATTTGTTGTTGTTTCTGTTTCATGGGAGGTCGTGTGTTGCTTTCGCATTTGGCTGTGGTGTAGAATTCGTTGTGGCCTCAGTAGAGAAAATAGTTGAGACGTCTTCTATATTCGTTGTCGTTGTTGGTGATATTTTGATTAAATATATATGAAAGAGAAATTGCTGTTTTTGATAAATATTTAGGCTAACTACTAAGAGATAACGCACGACTCTTTGCTGGCGGGCAGGCCGTAATCGCTGCGCCCATAGCTGGACATGGAGGCGGGACTGCGTCGCCTGAATAGATCGCTGAGATGTGTGGAACTTGTTGCTGCTGTAGTTGGATAATAGTTGGACGTAGTTGAGGCGCCCAATGTCGTGTATGGTCTTCTGCTGAGGTAGTCGCTGCTGGTGGCCCCACTGTTGAGGTAGTCATAATTGCTGCGTGGCGCAGGGCTGCGCGCATAGGCTGAGGTGGAGCTAGGAAAACGACTCGTTGTCGTCGTCGTTGTTGGCTTTGCCGGCAAGCTGCTGGTGTAGTGCCGTGGCCTATAGCTGGACAACTGATCATCCGGCATGTAGTCGCTGCGATCCGTGCTGCGTATGACATCACGCATATAGGGATTTCGCTCCACAACGCGTTCATTGACAAAGTCGCGTTTTCGGTCGTGCAGTCGTTTGCTTCGATCCAGCAGAGCTCGCATGTTGGCATCCACTGGGTCAGCATAGTTAATATTGCTCAATGGACGCGAAGTAGCCACAGTAGTTGTGGTCGATCGTGTGTCTGTATCTTGACTGGATAGTGCAGATAGTGATTGCTGTGACGTGGATACAGAAGGGCCAGACTTGAGATCACCAAAGGACTTAGAGCTCAGGCGAGCGCTGGCTCCAAGTGGCTTAAAAGGCTGCGGTGACTGTGAACGTGGCTTATTATTGAATCTCTTGTTTTTGCGTCGCTTGGTGTCCAGGAAGCCGAGCACATCATCTACCTCCAGCGAATCGGACCGTTTGCTCTGCTCGAAAATCGTTTTGCCATCTGGCCACTGACGATTCTGGAAGGCAGCGCAGGGCGGGGAGTCAGAGCGTGCGTATTCTGGCAATTGCTTTTTCAGTTCTTGCTCTGCATCTTCTTCATCTTCGCTGTCCGGTTGCAGATCTCCAATATACGGATTGGGCCAGGCACGATCCTTGAAGACCTCCGGCACCGGTTCATCTTCTGCCCTTGCTTCGGGCACATACTTTGGCGCCTCCAGCTTGGGCAGGTGCAGCTTTTTGGGCATAGGCACAATTACCGGCTTGTTGTCCTGTAATTCTATAAATGCAAACGAACTGCGTCGCGTGGAGTCCGCTGTGGAATCTAGCGTCGAGTTACTATCGTCACCCAAATCCAATTTCTTAAACATGGGAGGCGTGCCCTCGCGCCTTGTGGATTCGCGCCTGCTGCTGCTCGCCTGGGTGGTGCCACGTCGAACGCTAGTTTGTGGAGGTGTGGGTGGAGGAAGACTACGCTTGCCATTGGAATTGCCGCTGGAGTTGCTGCTGCTCTGCAGTGAATCTCGTCGACGCTGCTCGGCAGCTATTGCCTCGAAGCTTTCATCCCGCTTAATCAGCGCCTGACGGCGTTCTAGCTCGAATTCCTGAATGAGACGTGCTTCTGCCATGGCCTGATCATCATCAACACTGGGCAGATTATTTAGCAGCTGTATAGAGCTGCTGGGAGAGACATCAGATGGCTTAATTACGGGTAAGCGACGACGCAACGGCATTGGGCTATTGGGCAGCTTCTCCATATCCCATTCCAACGAGCCTTCCTTAGAGGCTGGGATTAGTGGCTGCTTGCGACGCGGCATGGGCGAAGCAGGCAGCTTCTCCATATCCCAATCGAGTGAGTTCTCCTTGCTGCGCGCTTTGGTTGGCGTCACGAGCTTTGAAGGCTCGTTAAGGCTACTATGCGAGGAGCTGTCGCTTTTTATTGGATTATTATTTTGCACTTGCAAGGATTTTGTAAGCGGATGTTGCGGCTGTTCTATGATTATCTCTGGTATCACATCTCCCACAGGCTTTACTTTATTAAAGCCGTTAGCATTGGTCTTTGGCAATTCTTTGTTCACATGATCAACCACGTCTTTCCCTTTGTCCACGTGATCAACGATATCCTCGTTGGGTAGAAGTGTCGGGAACTTTGGCTTTTCGTCAGAAGCCATCGTTGGCATTTGCACCTGCTCCGACTGCACATTGTTAACGTGGAGTTTCTGAAGCAAATCCTGCACGGAAGGCGGCATATCCTCTGGATCCAATTTGGCCAGTTTCTTTTTCAACCGCTGTGGAGCCACTGGCAGCGTGGGCTCACTGGACGAGGAACTGCTCTTTTGCCTGCGTTGGGGACGCGCTGGAAAATGATTTTCGGGTAGCTCATCGAATTCTGCGTTTTGCCCGCTTGTAAAACGATTTAACTCCTCCACCCTACGCAAGGGAGCTTCATCGCGTTCCAAGGACTCCAGCTTATCCACAAAATCGCGTTCCGCGGAGCTTCCGGGAATCAGGCTACTTCTTGGGCTAATTCCAATCAATTCATCATTTGAATCAAACTCCACATTCACGAGCATTTCATCGGAAAATTTGCTAAACAGTTTCTCGATGCTTTCCTCCTCGGAGCTGCCACGCTTGACTACCGTAACGGGCTGGGCACTAGGACTCTTGCTAATGGTGGTGCACAATGAATCGGCATCCAAATCGTCATCTACAGTAATATCTGGCGTTTGGTCTATTGCCTCAACCATGCTCTGGAAGACCTCATCGACATGCTCGACATCGCGCTCCATCTCGATATTGTGAAGCGCCTCCAAAGCATCTAGATTTAGTTTTTCGGTCAGCGAAATGTCCGATTGTCGTCGCGAGAGCACCAAGCTGGATTGAGAGCCACGTCTGGAACTGTTTAGCGATTTATCGCAGCCGGTTTTGGGTAGGTTCTTAATGTCCTCCACAATCGGGCGAGAGGCAGCAGTCTCCGTTTCTATGTTAACAATTTCGTTTGCTGTTGGCAACGATACTTCCTCCACGAGTGGACTTTTTGTCTTGGAGCGCTCCAGCTCCAGCTCTTTGGCCTCTGTGGCCTTATCAAGTAAATGTAAAATCTCCAAGTCATCCGGCACAGGAGGAGCTGGACTTGCAGGTTTCTTGGGTTCAACTTTTTTGATTTTTGGGGCGGCTTTTGTTGGTGTTTTTTGCGCTTGCTTCGCCTGCCGAGCATTGCTAATCTTGGCCAGCTCCTCCAGCGAATTGTTAGTTTTAGCTGGCTTTTGAATTTTGCTGGGCGAACTTTGCTTTTTAGTGGGCGACTTTTGCTTTTTGATGGGCGACTTGCGCTTCTCGGGCGATTTACGCGACGCTAGACCAAAGAATTTGGCTAGTTTGGAGTCGCGATATTGCACAGGCAGCTCACGTCCCCGACTGGTCTCCGCTTTTATCTCCAGTTCCTTTTGCTGTTCCTCCTTTTGTGCATAGAACTTATCGCGTTTCTTTTGCAGAAAATTTGTTGCCTCGTTGCGCCATTCATTCCGCAAATAGTCCATAGTTTTCTCCAAATCACTCATCGAGTCACTGGCAGAGACCAGAGATTCGCGTGAACGATTCAGGCTACTCATATTGCTAGTGCTGGACTCCATGCGGCGCAGCTTGAACGATGACTGCTCATCGCTTTGCTGTGAGTTGACAGAGCTCATGGACTCGAATCGTTTCAGTATGTTTTGGACGCCACTCAGTCGCTTGGGCTCGAGATCAAAGTCACCTTCGCCAAGTGACTTGGTTTTCAAAAGCTTCTTGCTATTGCGCCGGGGTAACCCAAGCTCGAGATCGAGGCCCGTTTCTTCCAGTATGCGTTCGATCTTATCCGAGAGATCGCTGGGTGACTTTTCATCATTAAAGAGTTTCTGATACTCGGAGCTGGGTGAACGTGTCTCACCATCAGCCAAAATCTCATCTAGAATACGTTCAGCTTCATCGCGAGGCGGCACTTGGCTCTCTGGCTCTACGGCAGCTGCAGCAGCAGCCGCTGCCTTCTTGGCCTTTGTGCCTTTGGGCACGATTTTCTTTATAATTTTTATTTTGCCCTTCGGCGTGGTTGTCGCCTTGACCAAGGTGGTTGAGTTGGTGGTTTTAACGGCAGCTTTTGTTGCAGCCACCACCTTAACAGGTGTTTTCTTCTTGCTCAAGTCGAGCGCTCCATCCAGCTGATGATCGCGTAAACTGAAGGCGTTCAGAGATGCCTGCCGCTTGGGCGGCACAGGCTTTGTTTTGGAATCAGTTTTGGAATCCGTTTGAGCACCTTGTGGCGCCTGTGCCTCCGGGGTCCGTGGTATGGCTGCCTCAGTTTGAGACTTCTTTAGTCGTTCTGCTACTGTTTCAACGGCACGTCGCTGCGGTGCCGGACTACTTGGAAAGTACTTGGCCAGATCGACATCCTTTAACGTTTTCTGATTCTTGTTAGTGTTGCCTGCGGCACTCTTCTCCTCCTTTTGATTGGGAAAGTACTTGGAGAGATCCACGTTAGCGGTGTGCACCGTGGGCGTAATCAGCTGAGACTTAATATGATCCATAGTGCCCGCAAAGCTACTGGCTCCGATCTCCTTGAGTTTGCTACTTAATTGTGTATTGCTTTGCGAATCGACGTAGGCATCGTCATCGTCATCAATGTCCATATCTTCATCTACTTCACTGCGCTGTGGCTTTTTGATTGCACCCAGAATTTTCTCGATTTGCATTTTGCTGTCATCGGGCAGCGGCGCCTTTCTTAGGCGAGGACTAGACTTGGAGCTGGCATTGCTTTTTGTGCTGCTGGAGCGGCTGACATTGGCGCTGCTTTTACGCTCAGGTTTCGGACTCAGCTGAGTTGGCTTCTTAAGACTCTCTGGTTTTTTAAGCAGCTCCTTGGGCCGCTCCTCAAAGTTAGGTTTGCGAGGCTTCAACTCGTCCAGATTAAAATCAATAACAGGTTTTGGCTTTGGCTTTGGCTCAGTCGCCGGCTGTGGAGCACTTACAATCTTCTCATATTTCTCATCAAACTTGGACTTGGGTGGTGCAGCAGCACTTGTAGCTGCGATGGCTTTGGGGGCCTTCATAGGATTGGCCATGCCCGCAGCTATAGCCGCGTTCTCGGCTAGCCACTTCTCCTTTAGCGTAAGCTTGTTCAATATGTCGCTCTTGACCAGGTTTTCCTTGGCCAGCACTTCCAGATCCTTATTCATTTTAACCATATTATTTAGGTGATATAGCTTTTCGCTAATTGCCTCGATCTCGCTGCTAAATTTGCGCGGCGCATTGCGCTCCAGCTGCTCCAATTGAGCACGTGTAGGAGCTGCAATGGGCGTGCTTGGCTGACTCTTGGCCGACTCGAAGGAGTTGGCCGACTTGAGCGAAGCTCGCTCCACATTTTCCTTATTTTCTACACTCAACTGAGGCTTCTACGTGGGAATTTATTTATTTATGAAAACCAACACCATGTTTAGAGACAATGTTTATATGGTAATTGTATAAATGATATCATCAGAGTATACAACAGAAAATTAAAAACAAAATTATGATAATAATATTAGTTTCCCATAGCCAAAGGACAGTAGATCAAAGAGACTCACCTCGGTTTCCGTATCCGTGGGCAGATTGACGGGCAATGGCTGCAGCCGCACTTCCTCGCGTCGCAACTCACGGGCTTTCTTGAACTCCTCACCCTCGGTATCGTCCTTGCCATCATCTGCAACAGGCAACCAAGAACTAAAGTAAATATCAAAGGTAATTTTTATGCGTTACGAACCCGCGATGCCTTCGCTGGAATCGTAGAAGTCATCCGAGTCATCGCTATCCTCACAATACTGTTTGCCAATCCAATCGGATGCCAGTTGCAGAGTTTGAGCACCAAATGGCGAATCATCTGCCTCCTCGAATAGCTCTGAATCCGATTCTGTGTCTGACTCATCCGAACTGGACAGCTCCGACTGTGAATCATTGTTCGACTCAGGCAGGAAATTACGTCCTGACCACTCATGCTCATCAATGACATTGGCTTCATCATCCGACATGGCATCAGCCGAGGCAGCGGCTCTTGAGGTTTCCAACAAATCTACTTGATCTCCACCGGCGGGCGTGGTATCCATAGCCTGCACCGCTTCAGCGGCTGCTACAGCGCCAGCAGCAGCTGCAGCAGCTGCTGGTTGCTGTGCAGGAGACTGCGCTGCAGCGGATCTCTGCGGGATAAGCAGTTACCAATGTGGATGAAAATAAATAAATAAATAGTTGGTTTTTTAGCTTGACTTACTCTCGATTTGGAGACACGCTGCGGCATGGGCTTCGGGGGCAGTCGGAAGTGTTGAGTGCAATAGAAACGACCCTGGGGATCGTCACGATCGAAGGCATAGCCGCCAAGGCGCAGATTGGTGTGGCAGTGATGACATTTAAGGCAATTTCGATGCAGCACCAGACCCTCCACGGTGGTCTTCTCCATAAGATAAACCGTTTGCTTGCAGAAGCGGCACTTCTCAGAGGCGGCCTGCTTCTTAAAGGCGAGCGCCACCTTGGAGCTCTGTGAACATGAATCCCATAAGAAATTATATACATACATTTGGCTTGGGGTTAGCACAGCGAACAACATTGAGGTGCGTCTTAATAAAAGTTGATTCTCATGTACATATGAATGTGGTTGTGTGTGAGAGTGTGTGTGTGTGTGTGTGTAGGTGCAAATGGCCTAAGTTAAAAGCACGCTAGCTAAAACAACAAGAGCAACAGCAGCTATACACGAGGAACCTTATACCATAAGGACACGCGGCGACTAAGTTAAGATAAGCCATAAGCATAATACAAACTAAACTACATATACGGGATATAGAACACATAAACGTAAGACCCGGGATAATGATACGGTTCGAACGCACTACTCACAGATTTTGGTATGACAGTGTTGTTGGTGTTGGTGGTGGCATTGCTGCTAGCATTTTTCTCATCCGAATTGGTCTCGTCCTTTTTCACAAATTGCCCGGCGATGGAGGCAACCTTGTTGCGCCCACGCTCGCCCACATCCAGATTGTGGCCTTCCTTGAGCTGTTTGTCCAGGTTCTTGAGCGTCGTATCTATCTCTTTAAACTTTTCAGCCTCGCGTGAATCCTGGCGCTGCGGCTTGGACATTTTGTGCTGACGCGCCTGGAACTGCTCTTTGCTCCATTTGGGCACCTTTTCGCGGCCCTTGGGCCCGTGGATCTCGGTCTTCTTGGACAATTCGATTTTCTTCTCGATTTCGCGCACATTCCAATCGCTCGAATCGATCTTGCCAATGGCACGCATCAGATCTTTGGGTTTCTTATCACTGCCATAGCCGGCTCGGCCCGTCATGCGCTGTTCCATGTTCTTGATGCGATCGCTGAACTGCTCATCGGCAGCGCTCCGTGGCATCGCCGAGGGTATATCGCTACGTTCGCGATCCTGTTGTTTTTTTTTTTTGGGAAGTGGATATAGTATTTTCGGTGGTTCGACGATGGGCAGTGCAGCAGCCATTCGAGTTGAAGTCAAGTATATATTTGTGTGTGGGTGTCAGATTGCATTAATTGTATGTCGGACATGGATAACATTTTAGTTGGGAGTGGAGAAATCAAAATTTGAATAAATATAAATTTGAATAAACATCTTCTTCGTAATACATAAAAACAATCAAAACCAAAACGCAAACAATAAAAGAAATAAAACTTAGATTTTAGACCAACATAGTTAGATGAACGAACTTAGCGCAAGTTTCTTTAGTATCTGGCGGAGAGCACGCTAATAAAACGTAGTAGCTAACTTAAACATAGATTTTAGTTAGGACAACATCTTTACCAAGCTTTTCATTATTGTTTAGCCGCAGATTAGCAAAGTTCTTGAGAGAATAAATTAGCTGATTCAAGATTTAGGGCGAAGCTTCTGGGAAACAGTTTCCGCTTCATGCCGCAACAATTCAGTTGCTTTTCTTGTTAGTCATAGGCAAAGAGCCTGCAATTCAGTTAGTTTCGTTTGTGTTAGGAGCAAAGACTGAACGGCGAGTGGAGCCAAGACAAAACATAAGGAACACAGACACGACGTGCAGCAAATTGTGTCGGCCAACATAGAGAAAACCAGCAGGCAGAGTCAGGCAATGGAAGGATCTCTGAATCGTATCCTTATTGCTTACGGGAAACAGAAGTTTGCGCTCGAGCTCCTTGACGCGATCGTTAAACACGGGCGCCTGCTGCCGGTACAGAAATATCGAATAGTCCTCGAAGGGTGTACCATCCTCGGCCACGCCCTCAGCCACACCATCGCCCTCGCGGAGCAGCTTGCCCGCCTGCAGCAGCTGCAGACTCTTGTAGAAATTCTGCGTCTGATGGAAGCGCTGCTGGCGTCGCCTGCTCATGCGATCCTGACGATTATCCTCGATTTCTTTCAGACGCTGCTGGCGCTCCTCCTGCGCAGCAGAGTGGAAAGTCAAGATTTGACAATTTCACAGTATGCACAGGACACAAGTATGTGATCGTGTGTGTGTGTGTTTGTGTATGGCAAGGAAGAGTGTGTAATCATATATGAAATAGACATAAAACATAGACTAAACTAGAGAACTACATGACTAACGATCGGTATGGGATCCAGCGGGATTAGTAGAAGTATATCGACTGTTACAGTTACAAATGGGTTGAGAGCACGCGGTAAACGGATGACAAATGGCAAAACTTTGGACACTGATCGAACTGACCTCGTTGATAGATTCGTATGCGCTTATGACGTTACTGAGTTCATGAAAGAGAGCTGTTTTCAGTATGAGTTTAACCTTGGTTTATGTTTTTTGATTCGGTTTTTTTTTTATGATTTGTATGACAAGCGTTCAACAATAAATTACAATCAAATATTTTTTGTATGAGCGTAAGTTTTTAAGGAGAATTGTATGAAAGAGAGAGAGAAAGAGAAGTTTGTTGACACAGTTGAAAAGTGATGGCCTTTCCTAAACATATGCGCATAATTTGCCAATTGAATGGATTTATATATGTATATTACATAAGAGAAATTTCGATATGGCATCACTTTTCAAGCAACATTTAATGCGCCAGTGAACCAATCCATGATAAAGTCGAAGCATCTACTCACAATGTTCGCCGTTTTATCAGCCTGGCGACGTTTCTTCGAGCGGCGCGGTGTATCACTTTGAGCTGCAAAAGAAAACAAAGAGGCAAAGTTAGAATCGAAAAAAAGAACTAGCGGCCCTATTTACATATATATATATACCAGAAACAACGAACGTGACCTTATAGTTCATAGTTGATTACTATAACTTAGATAATCTGTACGATTTTTAGCTTTTAATGTGCACTACATATCAGAGAAAGAGATCGTCAAACTGTTCTTATTGCTCAGTATTTTGGGATTTCCGTATTAGCAGAGTAAGCCTAATGATCTCCAGCTCTTAACGAGCATTACATGATTATGTACAAAACTTTATTTTTATTCCGGCTATAGAATTTAGAGTGGTAACTTGGACACATTTGTTGTTCTGGATTTGGATCTTTTTTGTATAATGGTTATCTTTAACACACCCTGTTGTTGCAAATTGTTGCTGCCTGTGCTGCTAGCTGCAGCTGTGCCTGCAGCCACACCGCCGCTGTTTAACAGCTGCTCGTGGCGACGCTGTCGCTTGGCGCGCTCCTCCTCAAGCACAGATCGCCGCTGCACTGTTGTCGGCACGTCGACGGCATCATGCATGGGCGACTTGGCTTTGGCCTTTGTCTGCAGCAGCTTGGAGAAATCTGGCGGCGCATGCGTATGGTTGATGCGGTACTTTTGACGCAGATCACTGAAGTCCATTTTGGGATGTTTGATATGGGGTATCTCGCCACGGAATAGATCACAAATTTGGTCCAAGTAGGTTAGCCAGATGCGCGACTCAACATCGCTCAGATCCAAGGACTGTTTGGCATTCATGATGCGATCGATGTGCAGCTCCCGCTCCAACACGGCAAAGGCCAACTCATTGCACTCCAGCGGACTCATATCCTTGGTAGCGGCATAATCAATAAGATCAGGTCGATAGCTAAACAGAAAATAAGAAAAATAAATAAATAATATTAAACTACTTCAAGAATCCACTCACCGATTGATTAGGGCGACCAGCACACGACCATTGCGAAAGACATCCGAGGGTTCTTTGAGATCGGAGGCAAATGGAAAGGCACACAACTGCGTGCTGATCCAGCGTAACAAAATGGCACCTTGCGGCAGGACATCTGTGCAGGAGCACATAGTTAACGTTAGCATATATAAATATTAATTAGTGGATATTTACTGACCTCCACTGCGACGCTTGCGTCTGCCTGGCGTCTCGACATGCGGCAACTGCAGCGCATGCGGATCCATAAAAGTCTGCTCCAGTATTGATGGATCATCAGTGTCAATCAGATGCTTCACTTGCCAGCTGTTCACGGACTCGCGATTAAGGTTGGGATAACGTGTAGCCGGATCTACAGTATAGGCACTGATGTCACGTTGCAGGGTATCGGGTGTGGTCTGATTGAGCAAGCGATAGATGCTCTCACGTTGAGCTAGAACGCCCAAAGTACTGTTTTGTGGATTGGACCAGAGCTTGATGGCATAAGCAGCATCCATGCTGGACAGAAAACCACGGGCACAGCCCGAACCAGTGGGCCAGAATGGCTCCAGCAGACTGTCGCCCACAAGGCACTGTAGCAGCCGGCAGCCCTTGCGCACCATTACGCGGCAGGACATCTCGGCAGCAAACATGGAGGTAAAATCAAACATGGCCACATCCGGTTTGCCATAATGATTGACAGCAAACTCCAAATTAGGCATTTGATATTGCGTGGAGAACTCAGCGGCCTCACGTGCATAGTCGTGCAGCTTCTGTGTGTCTACGTTGGCGGATGCTAACAGCTCGGCGGGATCGGCCATGTCCTCAATGATGACACCCTTATCGATCAGACTGTGCTTCTTGGCGGTCATCACGAAATAATGCGTCTCATCCTTGTAGTAGACAATGTTCTCGAGATCAATGCCCGTACGACTGTACAGCTCCTTGAAGAAGGCCTGATTGAATATAAAGGCCACGCCGCTTATCTCCTCCACCTTGGCCTCGGCCTCGGTCTTCTTGTTGATGAAGTTCGCCGTTATGGCAATGGCCAGCTTGCCACGAAATTCTTTGCGCCTAAAGTCCAGCATGTTTCGCTTGCCATCGGCGCCGATGAGTACATCGAACTCATAGTTGGAGACAGCATGATCCGCTGGTGAGACCGCCGCATGCCAACCGGTGCCATCGCCCGTGGGCTCCAGTGCATGATCGAAGCTGACGCCCTCATGTATCTCAACTCCCAACAGCAGAGCCACTTTGAGGAGCATGCACTGTAGCTGTCGGATGGAAATGTGATCGATTGAGCCGGCACAAAACTTGCCATAGAACTTCTTGGCTCCCAGATTCCTTAGATCCGTGATGACAAACGGCCACAGATGCAGCACATTGTTGCGCGTGATGCGATCACGCTTCTCCAACACCACCACCTTGGCGCCCAGCAGCTGCGCCTCAATGGCCGTGCGCAGGCCGCATGGACCGGCGCCAATGACCAGAACGCGAGTACCGCTGCATGCATTGCCCTTGCCATAGACGCGATGTGCGGCGCGTGCATCGAATTTCTTCCACAGCGCCTGCGCCTTCCAGGAGCGCACCTTGGCCTTGAGCTTCGGATAGAAGTCGTTCAGCGGCGATGACCGCAGCCCCACCGCCTCGCACATGGCCCGATGCAGGGCCAAGATCTGCCGCATTGTTGTTGCCACGCAGAGCAGGTCGAATAGCTCGGCGGCTTCCGCGGCAGCGGCATGTTCGGCCATCAACAGCGCCTGCTGCTGCTGCTGTTGGGCTGTCAGCAGCTGCTGCTGTTGTTGCTGCTGCTGTTGCTGCTGCAGCTGCTGCTGATGGTGCCGCTGATGCTGGCGGCTCATTCTACAATTAGAAGAAACATAAATTTTTATTGTTAAAAATTGAGTGACATTTTATACTTAATTAGACGCTCATTTGGCCCGAATAGTTTATAAATATTTAAGCCTCATTTGGTTATTTCATTTATTTTCTTTCTACACTCTGCTGTTGATTTAACGTTCTAACTTAAGTTGATTCCACCCCACCCCGGCGCTGTCTTTTTGCATTTCTTTTATTTTCCCCAGCGCGGTCACAATTTAATTAATTAATGACAAAAGAAAGACAAGGAAAAAACAATAAAAATTAAAATCATGTTTACGAACGTCTCCCCTGCTCATGGCAAATGTCAACGAACCAAGAAAAGCTTTTCGCGCCAGTTCAGCAGGTTGAGCTTGAACAGAGAGTGAGAGTGCGTCTGATTCACTTCCTATATACGACTTTTCTATATATATATGTATAGCTATATATATATATGCCAGTTAAGACTGCCCGATTTGTTGTCTTGATTAACCGAGCTACTCGCACTTAAGCTTATATATATTTACTAAGTGTGTTCTCTTTGTTGAGTGTTTTTTTCCTTCAGTTATACCTTATTGAGAGCTGTTTTTAAGGAATTATAATGCAATTGTTTCTCAAGGCTTACTTGTTAAAGAATGTATTTATTATAATATATATCAGAGCTTAAACATGGATTATAAAAATCATTTACGCTAAATCAAGAGATTTTGTATTCTTTAAAAATTGTCTTCGTACAGGGTAACTTCTAGTCATGCATAGCCAATGAATGCTATGTGCGTAATCTATCTGCTCAAAAATTTAGTAAATCTAAAGCATATAGCTAAAAAATTAAGAACATTTTGTGAATTATTTAAGAAAAGAATGACCCGAGGGGTTTCCAAAAGTATTTAAAACTCAGCCACAGAGTTAGGAAATTGTTTTGCATGCTTAATTAACGAAGTGAGTCGCCAAGAGCTCACAATTTTAAGATTTCCTAGAGACTGACTAATCCCTTTGAGCCGTTGTCGTTGACAAAAATGTACTTCCTCATAAGTGGGACAAGCGAAGGCTTGAAGCCTCGTGCTTCAATTAATTAAATTGAAAGCAAAAATAAATCAAAATAAAAGAAGAGCATAAAGCGGGCAGTCAGGCGACGATTACTCATCTAAATGACAAGAGCCATCGGGCAGGGCAACTGCTCAGCTTTGTGTGTGGCTTGTGGACAAAGGAGTGAAAGGAAAATTTGCGTGGCCCGTCAAAGGCGGCGGCCAGCATTGACAGCGAGAGCAGACTTGGGGAAATGAGCCACTGAAGAGCTAAACTTTTTTGTGGCACACACTCTTGAACCCGAGCGTGGGCGCTAGACAGGCAACAACCTGACAATGGGTCCAAGGAACGAACCGAGTACCAACTCCGAAAAGCATTCCCACACATTCATATATATATGTACGGCTGGTAGCTTATGAAAATGAACTTCAAAGCGTTGAAAGTTTGCAAATAAAAAATGAAAAGTAAGCCACGAGACAGGGCAAAGCATGGCCTTTGTTCGCAAGGAATGTGGAATCTAGAGAACGTTGGAATCCCACAAGCCATTAAAACCAGCAACAAGACGAACAAAGGAGCTGTAGCTGCTAGCTGCTAGCAGTTGCCACCGGGCAGCTCTCGCTTCCACCAGTTTACGTATTGAATGAGCCGGAAAAATAATCGCATTGTTAACTGCGTGTACTAGACTGCCCTGGACGCAGGTTTATTGCACTGAGCTGAACTCCACTGCACTTGTTGCGTAGGTTTCCCGATGTGCTGTCAAATTTACACTTAAAACAGATATATATCTTGAGAAATACATAGAAAAAACTAGTCAAAAGGGCAGCAGTGTCAATCAGTGGCAATCAATACGTGGCAACAGCCGAAGATGCATCTCCAGGGGGCGTTCGCTCGCGCAGCTCTCCGGTTGATGGTGATTGCGACAGAACGAATGGTGGCGTTAACGGCGGCGAGCCGTCTAACTGCTCCAGCTTAATCATCAACGGAGATGGCTGCGGCAACAATTTTTCATCTGTGCAGTCCAGCGATAACATTTCATCCACATACTTGTCAATATCTTGGCGCAGCTGATCAATGGTTGGCTGAATGATTGAATATTCGTAATTGCGGCAACTAAAGAAACCTTGATGCACACCAGCCGTCAGAATATCTCCAACAACGGGCTGAATGCGTTTACGGGCCACTTTATATATATTGGCCACACGCTGAGACACCTCCTCAATGGTGGCCGGGCGACCAAGCACCTGTAGTACCTCTAAAACTAATGCTCCATTCTGTTTGCCCAAGTTTGATGGATTCATAGCAAATAAGAGAGTTGTTTTTTTTGTGATTAACTTCTAAATATGTACAAGAAATTTACGCTTTACGATGCTTTGGCTAGCGATCAAAAGGAAATCGAAATATTTTTATAAAATTATTTGTATGCTCTCGCTAGTTGTAAGGTGTATAACAATCTGAACTATTAAAAAGTATATAATATAATCAACAAAAATATTTGACAACTCAAGCAAAAACTAAGCACAATCCTTGTCAGCTCTACAAAAGTATTACAACTACAAGCCAACAATGATAATCAGGAACTGAAATAGAAACAGGAATTCCTCTCCACTCAATTTCCATACAAAACATGCTTCAACCATTGTATTTCTATGCTATTTACTCGGCTTACAATGGTGAAGCTCTTTCAACGTCTTTTTTTCTGCCACATAAAACGATTAACCCTAACTTAGACAAATTGTTCCAGCTATATATGATTTCTGTAACAAGCTCTGTATAATTTCCAATTTCAGTCTTGCTCATCGTCGATTTGAGTTACTTTTTGGCGAAAAGAAAATAAATAAATTCGATTGGCGCCATGAAAGCCATAAAAAGCGCACGCACCGTGCTCGGAGTCAAGTGTCCATGGAAAAGCTTGTCAAGGAAAAACAACTAATAAAAACTTGCCTTAAATGACCGACGAGAACTTACCCCTATAATGAAAGACTAAAAAATCTTACTTAATAGTTCAAATATTCCATTTCGAAAATACAAATATATATATATATATATATATAATATATATTACATATATTATAATATGAAAATATATAAATAATAGTAATGAGTATAATAATATATATAATATAATATATACATATATATATATAAATATTCTAATATTCTTTTAGCAATATTGAATAAATTATTTTTAATTGAATTTTTTAAAAACAATTTCAAATTTTGAGATATTGCCTAAATACTCTATCAATAAGTTTAACCTTTACAATATTGATATTTAAATTTCTTCTGTATACCAAATGCTAAGAGATGTCTCTCTGCTCGATATACCCGCTTGACACATATTTATATAGATATAAAACCAACTACAGGGGGTTGGGATTGGCGTCGTTCTGTCGTTTATTGTCCCTTTTCCTCAGCCTGTTTCATGTTTGCTTGCTGTCTTGCTCTTTCTCACTCTCTCTTTCTCTTCCTCTTGCTCAGTTCGTTGAGTTGGCGTGTGACACATTGGGCACACAGCTTATTATGTCACTGGCGGGCAGAAACTGGAGCTGGGTGGCTCTCAACAGACGAAAAGCTCAACATGGAAATTAAAGTCGAAAGTAACGGGAAAGTTAAATGTTTATCGATTTTGCTCATCGCGTTAACCCGGCGTAATGTTTTGTTTGTTGAGGCAGGAAGTATGAGGAATTGCCAAAACACGTGGCGGTCTCCAAGGCCAGCAATAATAACGAGGGATGCTCGTCTAGCTATTTACATACAGCCCGAATGACTCATAGAGTCTATAAAAATTGCAATTTCTTTTAGGGGTTGTATTTTTATATCAAAATTTGAAAAAAATTACAAATGAAGTATTGCACATGGCTGTCGGGCAAGATCAAGGTTTAATAAATGATACGAGCCACTTCTGACGAGAGAAAGAGAGGGAGAGAGAGACGGCGTGAAATCGAATTGGCCAATTGCCAGCAAATTTCATAATTATTAAAAATACAAAATTTTGCGCGCAACATTAATATCTTATATTGTTTATAAACATGTTTGTCTTGTTGTTTGTTTGTTGATTTTTGTCAATTTTTTAAATTGCCTGATTACCTGTGCGAATTTCGTGTTTTCTTTACGTTTATTTTCTGACGTTTGTCAAATTTCTTGTCTTGTTTTTCTTTTAGGTTTTCACAATTTCGTTTTCACAATATTTTTATTTCACAAATTTTCTCGTTTCGTTGCGCATTCAAAACCCGCCCGCTCACAAATGAAACATCTCCGTGGTCGATGGGAATTTAAATAAAATTATATTCGTATCGATACAGAATATAGACATATTCACACAATGAATCTATACACACAGGCACACACACTAACCCACACTTCCTGAGTAGGTAAACAAAGCGATGGGAACACATCCAACCACAAGGTAATTGAAATGACATATAAGGCGAAAAGTGAACTCTAATTATAGGTTCATAGATATTGTATCTTTAAAACAAAAAACAACGCGTAATACAACTGTTCTCATAATCAACTCACACACACTCACGCTGCACCGAGAGATAAGTTGATTTATGAAGGCAGAACGTACAACACGTCGATAAGAAAGTGACAAAACAACAATATACAAGCAACTCACTACACTTTCTAACATTGTCCAGAAACCCTTAAATGGACTGCATTTATGCATGTGAGTCACGTTATTAGCAAACATATTTCCCATTTTGTTAACTTTATAAAACAAGCATAAAACAATAAAAATAAATTTGTGAAATACGCGAAGAAATTAAACAGTAGGTGGGGCAAGGGAAAAAGTAGTTGAAGTAAAATAAAAATTAAAAATTACCATGTAGCATCAGACATTAATAGGACTAGGTCGAATACAAATAAATTTACATATAAATATATTCATATCCATCTATATATCTATATGAGAAAAGAAGGAAACAAAAACAACGAATTAACTTAATAACAATTTTAGCTGCGTTTTAAGAAGGGTTTTCAAGCAAACATGCCTAAGATTTTAAAAATTGTATCTAGTAATCAAATTTATAATAAATTTGTTTCGTAGGTTATTCTAGCAGGAACTCATTCAATCTGGGGTATAATATGCATTTCATTTGCTATTAGTCAATAATATGATTTATGATATATAATAATATACTTAAGTGTGAAAGCCGATTTGCTTTTATAGAAAAAAGATTGAAGCTGCATTCAACTGTAAAGCATAAATAAACATTCAAAAAACAAAAACAAAAACAAGTAACTGTGCTTTATGCGGGGAGTGCGCGACTAGCCGCTACCCGAACCTTGCGAAAGCATGGATTCGCCTTTAACTCATTCTATCTATTGGTGTCAGAGTAATATTTAAATACAACCGGAAGCTGAAAATTCAACTAAAACAAAAGACTCAACTAAAGAAATTCCACTTGTAGTGTAAAATTCTATAACAATAATTTGTGGCAACATGCTTTAAATATCAATCCGTAGTTTTTTACTATTTTTCATTCGCACTTCTATAAATACTTGTGGCTCCTGCTGAGCAAGAACGAGAGAGATTCAGAACGCTTGATTGATTTGTTCGCAAGTTGGTTGGCTGGCATTTGTTTGCGCCAAATGTTTTTTCTAATTCTGGCAGCCAATTGCGCCAATTGGGCGGCAAGCGCGTCGCAAATATGTTCAAATTGCAACAAATTGATTTATGACGAAAAAAGAGCCACACGAAACAGAAGAGTAAAACAAAAGCCTGATCAGATACGAACAACAATGCGGATACGCAACCGATGACCGAGTGCTTGGGCATTAGTATATAAATTTACATATAAATATATTTATATAGATGGATAGAGAAAAGAAGGAAACAAAAACAACTTTTGACGGGACACTTTTCACGCTGATGACAGGCAAAAATAAGAGAAAATACAAATTTAAATATGCACAAAACTTTGATTACATGAATCTTGGCGCCTATTTTGGTCACGAGCCAAATATTTGCCCATTGTTATAAATTTCTTGACGAATCTCAGTTGACAGCGACAGACATTAACAAATAAATCAAATATAATTGAGAAACATTAAAAATGCAAATATTTTTTGCCTAAAATGGCTTTTGCATGTTGTTACAAAACTTTTAGTGAAATAAACTTTTAGATGCAAATATATTTATAAATTGTTAAAAAGTCAAGCGAAATGCTGCGAAAAAAAACATAAAAGTTGTATTTGAAAATTTTCTATTCTTAGACAGATGGAAAATTGGGTCAAACATTTGGCAGGCCGAGCATAAAAGAGAAGGAGAGAGAGAAAGAAAAAGTATCTGTGGACGAGTGAACTCTGATGTATTTATACACACACTAAGATACATATTTTTTAAATGGCATTTTAATTGATTCTGAGTGTATTGGCAGAAAAAATCGAATTAAATGCTAAAATCAATTTTCTTTTGCTCCTGAGCTGCCCACAAAGTGACATCATGAACCAGCGTTGCGCTGAGTTGCGTTGCTCAACTCATTCAATTTGCAGCTTCCTTTCCAACAGAGTCCTGTCACAATTACTGTGCATGTAGGTCCTTGCAGGATTGCTGACATCATTTGCACAGCATGTGGAGTACTCTATAAAAAGTATCTTTTGCTTCAATTTCCGCTTGTTGGCTTACATGACGATGTTATTATTATATATGCAACTAGAGTTGAATGCAATTTATGCCGCCTGCACACACAAAGCCTGTGCCATTTACAAACTACGATTGGGGTCAGGCAAAGGGGTTTGTTTTCAGCCAACTTAATAGCAATTTGCATACATTTACAAGACTAATGCTGCAAAACGAATAAGAACGTGGGCCACAAATCGAAATGGTACTTACATCTCTCAGTCTCTCAGTCGAAGGCGTTATCTTGTAGATTTCTCATAAGTACATGCAGCATTAACTGTAAAAGATACAAAGTGTTCAGGCGTAAATTAGCTAAGTGTTTAAATAAGGCTTATAAATCTTAGTTCAAAACTATTATTGACGTTTCAATGTGAAGGCCAATCAAAGATATATGACACTATCCATTATCAGACGTGGCACAGACACAAAGCGCGAGGAAACCAATTCAATTGTTTGCGGTCTTTTTTGGCTTTCTCGTTCGCTTCAGGCTTCAGGTTTTAGGAGCGTTGCGTGGGTCGCCAGACAAAGAATAATGCAAATCTTGTCTTCAAGCAACTCTGTACATGAAAATAATTGTTTATGTGGGCTGTTGATTGAGAGGTTTCGCGTTGCTATCAACTACAGCTAATCGTTGAATGTTGAGCTCATATAAAACAACAAGAAAAAAGTGAACATTTACACGTTAAGGCATTAGAGCATTTGGAATATTTCATCATGCACCTGGGCAGGTGTGAACGACATTCAGAGGCAGAGAATGTGATTGTGCAGGATGCCAATTGGAATTCGATTGGAGCGAAAACGCATCTGCAACTGCTATTGCCTATTGTCATTACGGCTTGCTTTTTGTTAGCCAAGTTGTCCTCTTATTTTTTTTTTAATCGACTTCGTAATACTCGTTCACTGTCTATAAATAGCAGGATGAAGTTTTTAAAACTTAGCTGTTTGCGGATCACATCATTTTCAATTCACTCTTCACTCACCACTTGCCACGTTCTGTAGATAACAAAATCTCAACACTTTATTAGATGAAGATAAGATGCATGCAAACAAGTATACGAAAGTTCAAACATCTAGACAGTCGGACAGTGCACAAAAGCAATAAACTCTTTTTACTTTGTGGACGTGTATAAAGAGCTCAACATGCAGCCATCGAACATAAAGCGCATTGTACCTACCGCAACAAAACAATATAGCTACAAAGATTTTTCCAAGCCGTTGCCGGCACGAATATGGCATTAAAGTCAGCTAAGACGACGCGCAGACGTAAGGCGATGGATAAGACTAGTCAACAGTCATCGACAGCAGCAGCAGCAGCAGCAACAACAGCAACTGGCGTTCAAAAAGGTGCATAACGCAGCAACTTGGCCCGTAAAATAATTCAAGCCTAGGCGCAAATTCACGTGGCCAAACATCAACAGCAAAACAATGGAAACTACCGTAAGTGAAAAATGTGCAAATATAAATGCGATATCTAAATACTCTACATGTCAATAAATAAAATAGTGTACACATACGTATCAACAAACTGAAATTAAAATTTATATATTAAATATGGATTCTTAGCTCGAGTTTTGGCTATGATTCTATGCCAGACAACTGAACTGTATTGCCTGAACTTCAAAGATTGAATTGCTGTAAGAATGGAATGAAAGTCTAACTCCTTCTGTCTTTTACAGAATAATTAAAAAAAAATATTAATTATATCTTCACTTGTCAGCGACGTCTATTGAAGATGTCAAAGCAAAAGTCATTATTGATTTGTGTGCAGCGTAATTAATCCGATATTTCCTAACAATATATTTTTATTGTTATATTTTATGAATGAATTTATGTATAACATTCTCACAGCATTAAAATCTAATTCAAGTGTTAAAACAAGTTTTGTTTTCTAAGCTTCACGACTGTGATTCCTTTCCAGACAGTTTATGGTCAGCTAACGGATCAAATTAGTTTTGTGTGTGGTGCTATTTTATTTTTCGCAGCTGCGCATGTCACAAACATTGTGAAGAGACCAAAGTCATCCAGAGCCATAGTGTAGACAATAATAATAACAATGGTATTAACATGAGTCTCTGTGTATGTGAGTGTATTTTTTTCTTAGCCATTTTTGGCAGTTTTGGCTGCCGTTGCCAATGAATGAAATTAAATGTTTTGCCCCTTCGGGCCAGAGACAACGAGGAGACACACACAGAGACGAAAAAAAAATAGTTTAGCCCAATGCAAAGCAAAGCCGGGCTAAGTCTTTTGGGCAATGGAGCCAGCAACACGACAACGACAATAACTCGTTTGTTGCCGCGTCAAGTTGCCAAAGTTGGCCAAGTGTGCAATGTGCAAGTGTTCAGTTGTTGTTATAGCCACTGCAACAACAACAACAACAAACACGACAAGTGCAGCCAGTGAAATATGATGGCAAGCTGCGTGCGCGGCAAAGCAGGCAGAGATTGCTGGGACGCCTTAAGGAAAACTTGAAGCTGGCGAGTAACTGCCTCCCCATTGTTGGACAACGGGACAACGGGCGACGTCGACAGCGCAGGAACTAGCGACGATGACGGCGACGTCGGCATCGACGTTGGCGCTTTCACTTGCGCCGGCGACTTTTCCAGCATAACGAAACGTGTTTGCTTTGCTCTTTGAGCTTGCGCCTTACTTATTGTTATTATTGCTTGCAGCTGTTGCTGCCGCTGCTGTTGTTGTTGTTGCTATTATTTTGTCCCAATAAACAGCAACAGCGACAAATTGAATTCTATACATTAAACGTATACTGACCCGGCCACACCCAAAAAGCAACAAAATTCAAGCCAAACGAAGCCAGGCAACATTGTTGTATCTATGCAAAGCAACAATTTACATTTCTTTCTCTTTAACAACATATATTTTGTGCCTAATTTATTAATGTCAAATCGAAAGGCAAAAAATTTGTATATTTATGCAAATATTTGTATAAATAATTATGCCTGCTGATGATATAATACTAGTTGGAGCTGAATGTTTATTTGTTGTTGAGGAGAGGTGCCAACAGTCCAAATTGAAATATCGTTAGCTGTTTTTTTCTTCTTTCTTTCTTGTTTATTTGTGTATTCTATGCAGTATTCAGCTGCTCACTTATACTATGTATGTAGATAAGTTGTTATCTTTGGCTTATCGTATGCGAATACGAATTTTACATCTGTATGACTAATACTTCTATTTGAGAAGCTTTGCCTATTTGTCTATTAGATTTATAACCTGGCTTAGCCCTAATTAACTGCTGTTAGCTAGTCTTCACCTGGAACTGGAGACTAAAGAAACTACTTATACAGATGGCTCGAAAATTAAGATAAAACCATGATCAAGCTGTTGCCTCGCTGAATGCTGCTCAGTATGGGCATACTCGCAAGCAAGCTAGTAAACAAACAAGATATCAATGGAAACGCCAAAGACGCACACAAATTGCGGCTAGCGTTCATTTAAGGCCGCTGTCATAACCTTAGACCTTAGCCAGGGGCAATGGCAAGTGTGACCTTAGACACCATTTGATGATACAGATACAGATAGAGATAGAGATGGAGATACGAAAAAGCAGTCAAAGCAACAAGCGAAATATACCCAAAAGTAGTCAAATGTTTGTAAGTTATGGGCTTTAAAAATATAGAGTGAGGGGGAAAGAAAAAGAAAAATAGAGTGAGATAGATAGAGAGAGAGTGAGAAAAAGAGAGAGATGGAGATAGAGATGGAGATAGAGATAGAGATAGAGATAGAGATAGAGATAGAGATAGAGATAGAGATAGAGATAGAGATAGAGATAGAGATAGAGATAGAGATAGAGATAGAGATAGAGATAGAGATAGAGATAGAGATAGAGATAGAGATAGAGATAGAGATAGAGATAGAGATAGAGATAGAGAGAGGAGATCTACACTGAAGGAAGAAGGAATAAAACGAGAGAATGAGAAAGAGAGAGTTACTCGAAAACACGTTGTTAAACCTTCAATAGATCAAAGGGTATAATATAGTAAGAGACAGAGGATTACTCAAAAAGCTGTTAACTTTTCACAGTAACCACAAAATTAGATTAGAGCTAACTGAAGCTAGTTATGCGTGTCAGAGGCTAACTATATAAAGTTGTCAACTAAATTGTTTCAAGATTATGTAAACCAGATTTTGTTTGTTTATGGAACAGTATCTATCAGTCAATTAGTTTTAATAAAAACAAACTGTTGAAGGTGTTTGGCATTAAATACTATCCTTCATTCCATCTATTCTGAAGTAAATTTAATCTGCCTTCTCTATTAATTTTTAAGTTTCAACGATTTCGGATGATGAAATAAATAACGCAAAGGAAGTAATCAGGCAAAGACCCCAAAATAAATATGATTATATGGTTATAAATATGCCTAAACTAACCACAATAGATTACAGATAATATACAATGAGTAAATACAGTTATAAAAATAGTTAAACAGGAAGAATTAATTGTTAGGTTGTTAAAAAACATCGTTTGGCTGCTTGAAGCCAATTTAGGTTTTCTGGCAAGCTTACGCCTTATCTGCAAATGTGTTTTTAAACGTGCGGGTTGCGCGACTGTTAAATATCTATTATATCAAGCAAGCTACAATAGCATTGACCTCGCTGTGAGCGGCTCCTGCTTAATCAGCAGCATCAACGACATTTCAGCGCAGATACGCCTAGGCATGTAACTATGTGTCTGCTTGTGTGTATGTGTGTGTGTGTGTGTGTTCAACGTTTATTACACAAAGTGCACTCTGCGCTGTCATAATTAACATCTAAGCAACGATAAATGCAATTAGCGCTGCCAGCAGTCATTGACGTCGTGTCCCAGACCCAACCCCAGCCCGAGACACAGCGCCAGCCAACTCGCCTTGATTGCACTTTCATTGGTGGGCTCGGTTCATTGTCGGCCCACAGCTAGAGATGCACAGTTAATGGTATATGCTGGCAACGCCCAGATACCTTCATGTCAAAAGTCAAAGCATCGCAACAACAGTTTATTGCCGTTTCAATGGACTCCACACTTTGTTGGCCCTGTTTAGTGTCGACTACGTGCTGCATACGCATTGCAACTCAAACAAACAAATGCAACAATATAAACACAGTTCGAAATGCCAAACACATGCGTAAGAAGAGCAACGCCAGAAATTCTTATATTGCTCTTAAAAATACCAAGAATATGGCAAATGCATGTTTAGAAGATAGCAATAAGATACAAATGTATCTGCATCTGCTACCGGCTGCCGGCTGCTTGTAGAATGTTTTCAGGACTTGGGTCTTGTTTTGAAG